GATTCCTTTTCTGTTTCATACAATCTAAACATTTGACCATTATCCTAGCCATGAAAAGACCCTTAAGTAAGGTTTTTTTGTTCATTCATCAAATTTAAGAAAAGTGTGTCGCAAATCAAAATGTTCTATGTTCCCCATTACGTTTGTACGGAACACTTGTTGGATCACATATTTTTGTTTATGCAACGACTAATTGTTGATATATTTACCATAACACAACGATGTCTCTAAAATTAGCATAAAGACATCACCAATGAATTTCAACTGTGTTCACCCTTTACGGATTTTCGCCCCATGGATTATCTTGTGTTCTGCTGTTCTTGTGATTGCAAAAATGTTCAATATTTCTGAGGGTTGTGTAATGAGATTTCGTCTCTCCAAGCTGTATGTAAATAATTAACAGAGGCATTTTGTTGTAACTTGGCAACATAATTATAGAAAAACTCAATTTAGAGTCAAATTGACATGAGCAACACCTAGCTGACAACGCCAATTAAGAACTGATAAATCGTTAAAATTAGCTATTTGGGATGGATATTACACGTCATAATTCTCCTATAACAATCTTCATTAATACCGCTGTAAACGAATGTGGCTCTTTATTTTTTCTCATTCTGTGAAAAGTTCTTAATTATTCAACAGTCTATTCGCTAGAATTCCAGGAATGAAATACTCGATGATAAAGGTTTGCTTTGCTAAAGTGTTGATATGGTGTGTTTTAGGCGGTACAGTGGCGGCAAGGAACTTCGATACTCCCGACATCGTTATTGGACTTTTGTCCCCGTCGGAACCAGCTTTCATCAATACGATTCAAATCAAGCCAGCGGTTGATATGGCGCTGGAAGCGGTAGCCAGGCGGGTCCGAGCCGGGCAGTACCCCAACATGAGCCTTTCAGTCATCATGAACGACACAGGATCCGGCTGTGGAGACAATGAAATAAGGGTGCTTGCCATTGCTGCTAGGATGTTCATCAACTCAGCTGTCTACTGCTACATCGGTCCACCATGCAGTGGGGAGAGCACAGCGGCTGGGGACCTGGCAACGTTTCTGAACATCCCCATCATAACTGCAACGATGCCGTCACTGGACTTCATTAACAAGAAGTCTCGGTTTTGGACGATGACTCGAACATCATACGAACTGAAAACGATTGTCAAGGTTATGTTATCAACCCTTCATCATTTTCGATGGAGCAATTTTGCGTTTATATACCAGTTTCCAAGAGATAACGCCTCACTTGTGTTATTAGATTTCATCATTCCTATACCCGAGTTTACCGATAACGAGTTTGCTGTTAGGTACATCGCTATGGAAGAAAGTGATGCTCTTGACGATGTTTTGCTTAGCGCAATAGAGAAGAACAGGGGTAGGTCTTAATGTGTCTTAATAACCACGTATGATACCATTACTATTACTAACGTTCCTTCTCCTCCCAATATCGTTTCTATTGGTAGAAATATAACTACTCCTACTATTCCTACTACTAAATGTTGTACTTCTTCTTCTGATAATATCGTAGTCGAATTATGGAAGTAGCAGTAGTAGTAGTCAGGCGCGTACGCAGGGGACGTTTTGGGGGTTAATACCCCCTCAATTTTGTTTTGAAAAAAAAAAAAATGAATACTCATCCCCCCCCCCCCCCCCCACTTCAAATTTCGGGGCAAACAAATATTTTTTAAATTGTTGCTCACTTCTCAGTGTTTTTTTTACAATTTCGTACAAGTGACCTTTATCTGCGTCTACGAGTTGGTCTATTGTACAGACAGCTCAAGGGGTATGAATGAAAGAGATGTGATTGAAGCAGTTTGCTTGTGCGTGTTTAACAAATAATGGATAAGTGGTTGTCAGTCAGAGTCAGACAAGGTTGTACTTACATCATAATGGGTTATTGATCTTGACCGAACGAAGATGGGGATTTTTTTTATATTGCTTTCTTATTAATCGTCTACCGGTAGTCTACTCCTTTTCTTTCTCTACAGTTTCTCATAACCATTGCATGTTTTCATAAACCGCTCGGTCATATTTTGTTTGTTTGTTTATTAAGACCATATATCAAACAAGGCCGCGCATTCAAATAGGCTTTTCTCTGTTACAAGACATCACTCAATCAGCTTATTTCTTTCCTACTTTCATCAACTTTTATTTCTTTCACGTTTCACAAAACAGAATTTCACATAAATGGCGAAATCAGAACACGTGCTTATTAATTGCGTTTGTATTTTTCATTACGTGACCTGATATATGTTTTGCCTTTTTTACGAGTCCAAGGCAAATATACGAAATTTCATCCCAGAGATGGACTTTATTCATCCTGGCTCAATAATTCGCTCAATCATTAGTGGTGCAATCTCGATTGTGAATAGTAAAATGGGTCTGGGACTTGGTAACATGTTTGTGGAGATGAGCACATCTATATAAGTCTCATTTGGAAAATGATTACAATATTCATCTTGTGTACTATTATTCAATGTTCTTGCCTATCCGCCAGGTTTCTAGGGCAACATTTTATTTGAAATAACTGTCAAACTATATCAACAGGAACACTATCTTGTAAACGTGATACCGATGCTGCATTTTGCCGCTATTCGCGGAGTAGACTTGGTTGATAGCTTTGGTTGTCGAAAAAATTGGAACATCTTGCTTAAGGCATGTCGCATGATTTAGATAGGGGGAACAGAATATATCATTGCCCAGATATTTCTGTATGTCTATATTTGTAAAGAAGAAGTAAGAACGACTGCACAGTCATTCGCGTATTGTACGATAGCTAATTTGGCTACGGTTGAACATTCATAGTGAAGCACGGAAACAGTTTAGGCCGATAACCATCCAAAGGAGGTTACCCCTTAATCTTTGGCATATTGTGAGATAGTCCATCAGATAATTATTATCATGATAAACGTCGTTTTAGCCTTGCTTCTCTTACAACGCCCTCACGCACTAAATCCAATTATCCTCCGTCCTGCCATTGATGTTGCGTTTAAAGCCGTAAACAATGCCGTTGCGGAAGGTCTATACCTGAACTTCTCCATGTCCTACATTATACCGTGGAACTGGAAGTGGTTGTGGTCAGCCAGTGATGACCGCACCAGGAATCGCGGCTGATCTCCACTTCAATCACGATGTCGATGGATTCCTGGGATCCCCTTGCAGCGACGAGACTGCGACCGTTGGTGATCTTGCCGCTTATTGGAACCTTCCCGTCGTCTCAGGCGTGTCAACATCAACGTCTCTCGATGACAAGCAGCGCTACTTTACCCTCACACGTACATCCTTCAAGACAAGTGTTATGACCAAAGCTATGTTGTCGATGTCCGCAAGGTTTGGCTGGCACCGGTTATCCATGATGCGATCGTCTCCGGGTTTCTTTTCCATCGTATACAGAGCCATGGGAGAGCTTTCCCTATCTCATAATATCACAGTGTTTGATGTGCCTCTCACTAAAAACACAAACACGCGTGATGCCCTGTTGGAAGCTCTAACTACCTCGAGAAGTTAGTATTATTATACAATTTATATGGATGATTAAAGTAGCGGGTCAATATCATCACCTTTTTGTTTTTATATACTTCATCGAATCATCGATGAAACACAAATGTTTCTTTTAATCAAGCGTTGTTAAACAAATTTACATTAAAGGTACTATGTCCCATGTAAGGCCAGAAAATGAAAAGTTTAAATTTCAACGGCACTTGAAAGTTATTACTTATTTAGAAATTTCCTCAAATACGAATGGGCTTGAACATGTCTTAAAGTGGAGAAATAACGACCATTAGTTGTCGAATCGACTTTAGAGATTGCAATCACTAATCTGATAGTCTGATTTTCAGACCCTTGTACCGTATGGATTCAATCAGTTTCATTACAAGAATTGGTTATTGATGTAGACAAATGCTCATGTACCCTTTACAGCTCATGTTATGTATGTCATTATACCAAATAAAAAAGAAGTCAGTCAGTCACGCAATAGTGTCTGACATTGAAGTCTAGAAAGTGAACGGATTTCATGGCGTAATTTGCATACTAGACACTGCTAACGTTTAAATTTCACAGATAGGACGTACGCAACATATTCATAATTCCTGCAAAGTTCTAGAGAATTTGATGTCGGCTGCAAAAGGGATACACTACCTTTAAAGAAACTATGTGTTATATGTAATTATGTAACTTGTATTATATTTTTATTTTATTTTTTTAAGTATGTGTTTATTAAGAAATCAAATCATAACATATACAAACTTTCCCAAAAAATACAAATACAACTTGTATTATCTTGGCTATATATGTTACCATCACGACGTTTGTAAGAGCGCTAGCAAATTAGCTGATTGAGTTGGGTTTTATCATCGACTTTTGTCAATGCGTATTCTTGTCATACGATGATTTTACTAGTAATTATCTTTAGTATACTTTAATATCAGGTTAATCACGCTGTATATAACGTCGTTTATAAGAGCGCTTGAATTTCGATAGGGATTTGGAAAGTACAGAAGAATATGTTCATTCTATTATGTTCCACTCAAGTGATATCCTTGTGCCGCGTCGTATTCCTCAGTCAGTCGTTTCACCAGAGGATTGAAGAATTTATTGTAATATCTGTAATATGATATATGTAATCTGTAATCTGTAATATACAGGTGATAAAATGGTTTTTCATGCAGACAGTAAAGTCCAGAAATGGGTAATTACGTAAATGTTTTTTGTCATGCATCCTTTTGTCAATTGATATAATTTGTTTGTATCGAATGGCACACACACATTGCGTATGTGCCAATTAAGCGGCTCCAGCAAACGAGACTGATGTCGGTCTCGTGGGCCTTCGGTCTTATGTGTTATCGGTCTTATTGGCTGTCGACCAATTGGAATATCCCGGTACTGATCAATATCTTTAGCAAATAAAAGATTACAAAATTATAACCGATTCCAACTGCATGAATCTATTACTTTTTTCACTCCATTTTCAACTTCCATCTCTTTTTCTTTTCTATAAAGTCATCATCATTGCAGCACGTGGAGAGCTAGTACGAGAGACAATGCTGTTGGCCTACGACATGGGACTTATCAATGGGGAGTATGCATTTATCAGCATCGAACCTTTCAGTAATACGTTGGTCTTTGGCGATGACAACTGGAAACAGGTAATACATTATTGATATCCGGCATTCTTCAATGAAAAATTCCAAATACCTATGGCTTGTGTAATCTGCAAAAAAGAAGTTTTCTTTGATAGATATAACTCTTGTCTTTGTCATTTCATGAGATAACCTCTCATAATATCAACTTATTATATCAACCCATGACATTTTTCAGCAAAAGCACTCAAAAAAAGTCGATGGCACGTCACTATTTTTCCTGCTTTCCATGACAGTTTAGCGATTCAACCCTGCCACTTCAAATACCTGCATTCCGCATGCGCATGATCAGGCTCATACAGTATTCAACACGTTATGATTCCTGACAGACGTATGCCTCATCCATTGTGATTCTCTCAATATTTTAAATAATTTACAAGGCCATTCTATAAAGACTGATTTTTGCTGCCAAGAATAAACTAAAAAATATATCATATTCTGTTAAACTGTGAGTACTGGGAAAGAAGGAGAGGTTTTGTTGAACATGAATTTATTTTGAACAATCGTTGATATTATATTCGATGAGGGGAGGTAATGTGATATTTTCATTTTATTCTGTCAATTCCGTTTACCTCTTTTCCGCAACGAATTGCATATTGACAAGTGATTTTGTTTTGTAAAGGGAAATGATGTCAGATCTGCTACTATACCACTGTTAAAATAAATTTCCATTTTATCATCCGGGTTTGGCAAGATGACAGAACACTGTATATTTTCGCCCAATCTCAAAATAAAAATATGTTACCAGATTCAAAATATCCATCTTGTCACTGTACGCCTGCCATTATAAATCCATGTTGTCAACATTTTTGTGTTTCTGATATACGAATAAACTACAGTAAAATTAAATTGTATGAGAATTGAGGGCAGCATATCGGCTGCATTGCTATGTTTATTACTACCACTTCAGCGATTTATTATTATTTTATTTTATGTAAGAGAAAAGTAGGACTAAATAGAGATTGCCTACGTGATATTCGGACCAAAAGTTCTTGTCTTTCAATCTCATGTCCCACCCCCCCCCCCCGAAAAAAAAAAAAATTACATCACTTTCCCCTGCTTCCGCACCTCCGCCTGTCCATCTATCCTTTCCACATCTTCTAAATGTATCTGCCTTCTGTAACCCCTCCTCCCCTGTGGATTCGCATGAACGCAATAAAGTGATACACGCCATACAAATGCTGATTTGTATTACAATTACTATTACTTTGTTATTATTGTCATCATTATTATTATCCTCCTCATTATTATTAGAATGATGGCCGTGACGAGGACGCGAAGAAGGCTTACGAAGCTCTACTCACCATCCGTCTCTACGAACCAACCACACACGAATACAAAGATTTCCAGAAGGAACTGGAACGCAGGGAACAGAGGGATTACAACTGGACCAGACCTGATCCTGATCACGTGAGTATCATCAACTCAATATACAACTATTACCGTGGTCAGTGTACTATTTCTTTTTCATTTGGGTTGATGGTAATTGTGGTTATTTCCATTCACCCGAACTCCTTAATTTTTTGTTTAAAATTCCATTGATCCTTACCTTATTTTCACTGTAACATTGAACTTACTTCATTTGTCTCTACAACAATGTTTAAAGTGACAGGGATCAAATCTTACCTTTTGAAATGCTAAAATATTTTTGGAATTGACTAGTCAGACTTTTTCCAAGAGGAAGATTAGGCTACAATTTTTCTTAATTAGTTTCGATCAAGAACCACAATTTCTTTTTTTATTACTTGAATTGTCCTTCTAAATAAAAATGCCTCGTGATATTCATTATGACGTATGGGGTGCATTTTTTAGAACAATTACTTTGCGAGTGCCTTCCACGATGCCGTCATCCTGTATTCTCTTGCCGTCAACGAAACCTTAGCTGAGGGTGGCGACATCCGAGATGGTTACAAGATCACGAGGAAGATGTGGAACAGAACGTTTGAGGGTGAGGATGAGGAATTGATATTTTCCGAGGATAGACATCTATCATTTTGAATTGCTTTGGGATGTTAATATTATTAAGTGATATTGTTAAAAAATGACCATTTCTAAAGAAGTTGGCATGACATTTTTATCAGGAGGGCGAAATTGCTCAACATATATTTTGTTCAAAAGTGTGAAATTCAATGAATGCGTTATCTTTTTCTCTTTCTTTTTTCGTCTTCGTCCCCTGTATTATGTCTATCTCTCCCTCTCTCTCTCTCTCTCTCTCTCATCCTCTTTTCCTCATTATTCGCTGTTTATATCTATTCGAGTGTGATTGTCTCTTCATTCTCTTTCTCTGTCTGTTTTACTCTTCTCTATGACTGTGCATCCTTTCATTATCTCGTTCAACCCCCGGTTCAACCTCTCTCTCTCTCTCTCTCTCTCTCTTATAACAAACTTCGAAATATGATCTTTGATAGGTATCTCTGGTACGGTGACTATCAACAGTAACGGTGATCGCGATGCTGACTATTCACTGTGGGACATGACTGACACAGAAGAAGGTACCTTTGAGGTAAGTATACCTACTCGGCAAATGTTAGTGAAGTTCTGGGCTACAGCACAAGGAAGCGATAGAAGATGAGACTCGCAGTCCATAAGACCAACAAACATAAGTCCGATGCGCCTTCTGAAAAGTTATCTATTGGTTTGTTAAACCAACAGCAAGCAAATGAAACCGTCGTCGGGCCTTCTTACTTTATGGGGGTTCACAAGACTGACATTATCGGTGTTATGAGTGGAAAGTACTGCGATTTCCGCGAGACCGGTCTCGTGGGGCTTCTGAAAAGTTATCGAATCTTTCACTAGACAGGCAGCAAACTAGACCGACATGCCAATGTCGTCGGCCTTTTGACACTTTTGAAGAGTTATTTGATGGGACCGTATTCGGTCTTACGGATGTATATACTGACTACTTTTCTAGGGTGTTCTCAAGACCCATAATGTCGTCCCAATGGGTTGAAAGTCTCGCTGTCCGTCGCTTTCGTTGGCCATGGTTCCACTGCGATGTCGCAAAGTTTTATATTCCCGAGCCGGACTGAATTCACAGTTTTTTTTCAAGATGATTGAAGAAGTCATAAAATAAAATGCATAGGATATTCAGTTGTAGAATGATTCATATACTATTGTCAAATCATAACATCTCATCGATAACAACTATTATACATGTACTATGAACAACACGGCTCTTTATATTCTTAAACAACAATACCCAAGTATTTGCTGGAGAATTTTACGGTATAAAATGGTGTATGAAGGCAATCTTTCATGGGGGTTCTTACGGGGTTATTGCATTTTCTCTTATTTGATCAAACCACTGTGTGTGTGTGTGTGTGTGTGTGTGTGTGTGTGTGTGTGTGTGCGTGCGTGTGTGCGTGTGTGCGTGTGTGTGTGTGTGTATATATATATATAGGTTTATTAAAATCAAATAAATGTAATGTTTTATCGTAATAATGTTCTCATTTACAGGTGATAGCGAACTACTACGGTGCGACTGGTGAGTTTAAGGTAACTGATATAGCGCCTGTATGGCCTGGGGGAGCTACGGGACCGCCAAAAGACGAACCCGATTGCGGGTTTAACAACGAATACTGTGTGAATAGTAAGCATCTTCATGCAACTTTCCATTTCCTTTTTTTTTCTTCTTTATTTTTTGTTAACAGTATACAAACAAAGTAGATGTATATATGTTGACATGAATTTATTGTAATCATCAAAATACAAGAGCTTGGTGATAAAGTCGAAGTACATGTATGTCTTTGGTTACCCAGTGACCAAGTAATAACAAAAGATGCCAACATGATCAGTGAGATTGCGATAAAACTTTAATATTTTCACGCCGCCAAATCGCCTTAAACATGGTTTTGCATAAACATTTTCATCGTATCTTATCAAATGTTATTTTCAGAAGATTTGCCTGTACTTGGCATTGTTGGTATCACAGCTGGTGTCGTGGTTATAGCAGCTCTCTGTGCCATCTTTCTTATCTACAGGTATATAACATCGACCATCACAACATTCCCTGACCCTTTTCTACTAAATACTAAGAGCTTGTTTTTTGTTTTTTAGATTTGTTCGTATTGATTTTGAAGTGATTTAGTAATTACTGAGAGTATGATTGTCATACTTCATAGTACCCATATATTTTAGAAAAGACCATAATCGTATGTTGTTCATTATTCAGTAGCTGTTTTTTTTTTGGTCTTCATCCAGGACTTGTTGTAAAACGTTTCAGTTCTCTTATCACTTAACATTATGCTAATTGAAATAAAAACATCAACAGAAAGTAGGGTTAAAGGTACTATGTCCCTTTTGCAGCCAACCTCAAATTCTGTAGAACTTTGCAGGAATTATGAATATGTCATGTATGTCCTATCTGTGAAATTTAAACGTTAGCAGTGTCCTCATATTCAAATTATGCAAGGAAACCCGTTTACTTGCTAGACTTCAATGTCAGACACTATTGAGTGGCTGACTGGCTTTTTTTCTTCTTTGGTAATAACATACATGAAAAGGGTTGTAAAGGGTACATGAGCATTTGTCTACATCAATAACCCACTTCTTGTGATGGCCAAGATTAAACTGATTGAATCTTTGCGCAGCATAAAACGTATGACCATTCGGTACAATAATTGTCTGAAAAATCAAGACTATTACTTTTGGGCTCTATAGCCCTAAAGTCGATTTGACACTAATAGTCGTTATTTTACCACTTAAAGACATTTTCAAGCCCCACCTTTTTTAGGGAAGTTCTAAATTAGTATTATCTTTCAAATGCAGTTGGAATTTAACTTTTTCATTTTTTGGCCTGCAAATGGGACATAGTACCTTTAAGGTAGAACAGAGACGTGTAATCATCCATCATTATTATAATTTAACAAAGTTATGCAATGCACACAGCTGTTGCATTTCTGAGGGTCCTAATTATTGTTTAAGATGCAAAATACGCCGATTTTTTAAATTTCATTTAGGTGTGTTGCTCCAATATGGAACAAAGTTAGAGAGAAAATTGCACATGAACATTACGAGAAATTTATTTGTTAGACATCGTTTACCAAAACAATATTGTTATTGTTGTTACGTCACTAGAATAATTGATTTGATTGACTCTTTTACTCATTTAATTTGAATTTAATCTGTAACACGCCCAAATTGGCCATCTCCTAGAAAACTTCGACTGGATGCCGAACTGATGAAGATGTCGTGGCGGATCAAGTGGGAGGAGTTGGTCTTCGAGGAAATCGGCAAATCGGTTACCACGGCAACGTCAGGATCCAGAATAGTTGCATCCAGGGTGAGAGCTTTACCAACATACCCGAACGCATCAGCAAATATACCGATTGTTCTCCTTTCGTCTCCATTGCGAATCCTCTACAAGTTTAATCAAACAAAAGCATGGGGAATCTTTTGTTCATTGCTCTTTCCCTATAAATGTTTTTTCGCCTGCATGACGCCCCTTAATATCTCTAGCCTCTCTCTCTCTCTCTCTCCTCTCTCTCTCTCTCTCTCTCTCTAGATATATATATATATGCCTCTATAGCTCACCCTCTCTCGTTAAACATTTTTCGTTCACTCACTAACACTCACATTTTATCTATTCGTCTATTTTACTCTCTCTCTCTCTCTCTCTCTCTCTCTCTCTCTCTATATATCTTTACCTCTCATCCATCTCTTTCTCCTTATCCTTGCTTTTATATGTTGTTACATCTCCATACATGTCTCTTTTTGTTTGAATACCGTCTGTCTTCTTAATTTTGATGTCATCACACTTCCGTTATTTTTAGATGTACTCCTTAGAGTTTTGGAGACATGGCGACAATTGATCAATAATGCTATTTGGTTTGTATCTTCTTTCCCTGATGATATAGGGCACTCTCATTAATTCAGATTGTCAGGAAGGAGGCCAGATCTTTGCTACAGTTGCAAGATACAAGGTTAGACATGTTCAGATCTAGTCTTATCTCATTTAACTTAACTTATTATTCAACTCGCTCCCCCCTCTCACTCTCTCTCTCTCTCTCTCTCTCTCCGTCTCTATCTCTGTATGGTTTGTTTTACTTGTTTTTTCTTAATATACTTTTTATCTTCTCAGCTTCCTCTTCCTTTCTGTCTTCTATTGACATCACATATAATCGTTTACCTTTCATGTCCCTTCTTATTTCCAAATCCCTATCCTTCTTATTTTTCAAAATAGTGTCAACCGAGTACCTGATATACCCGATGGCATTTCAGTGTCACAATACAGTTGAACTACATCCAAAATTACATTTGGTTGGTATTGATTTATGCTTCACAAACTCATGGAATACATGTTCAGGTTTACCATGGAAATCATATAACAAATGTTTTCTGTCTCATTCAGGGTCGTTTAGTGATGGTGAAACGGATCAATAAAGGCAAGATCGAACTCACTCGAGACGTTTTAATGGAGCTTAGAAATGTAAGCGTTTCATTTACAACTTTCTCTTCTAACATCGTTTCCATTTCCCCTGTCTCATCTCATTCAATCAATATCTTTCCCTATTTTTCCACTTTTATACTGCAGCCATATTGGAGAGACTCATTCTTTATGGATGAACGATATCCGAAATTGTATACGTTCGTTTTTCTGCATATTTTGTTGTTGCTTGTTATTTAGTATGTTTTTATTTTTTCTTTCAGATTAGTAAAAAAAAAAAAAAAGGCATAAGGCATGTTGTAATTTATATTTTTCATTTTCTTGAAACCTGGAAAAAGTTAATGGTGTGCACTGCTGTACAACAATCTCTATAACTATGCCTCGGTAATATATTATTTTTAGCATGTTATATACTCGTTGAGGTTATTCCATTTAAACAAAATTGACATCATCCTTGATCCATTTTGATCAATAATTCAGGGGGAAAATGTCCTCCGTAGCGTCATGTTTCTATTCATTGATAATGCTGTGTTATTTGGTCTGCATAATAGATGAGGAACTTGGAACACACAAACATCGTTCGCTTCGTTGGCGCATGCGTGGACCCGCCCAATCAGACCATCATGACTGACTACTGTCCCCGAGGGAGTTTGCAGGTATTAGCATAGCATTGTATTTCAATTTCAAATACATCACTTTTGCAAATTTTGAAGTTCCTATTTGTACTTCCAACTGGAATTATTTAGAAATCTTAACAGTCAGTATAATCAGCTCCAAGGAACTTATTTAGGGGGAGTACGGTGTGCATACAATGTAGTTTTTGCATCCGATTTCAGTGAAGAAGAAAAAAAAAAATATATATATATTTTTTTTTAAATTGCATAATAATGATAATAATAATAGATTAATAGATAAATCAATCGAAATCGATATAAATAATGCACAATTAGAAGAAACATATCCAAGTAACAACAATTTTCATTAATTTTTCTTCTTCAACAATGAATTCAAAAGAAAAAGAATTGTAGATGTGTGACAACGATTTGCACGTCTCTTGAGAGACCAATGTCGGAACTGTGAACGCAACCAGTGGCATGTCCAACTTAAGTCGATCTTAGTCTTTGTCGAACACCACCCCCCCCCCCCCTGTTTAATTTCTTGGCGTGGATGTTTTTTAGCTTCAGATATAATGAGACGCTGTTTGTTGAAAAGATTAAAATGTCCTTATTTTTATTTGTCTAGGATATCTTGGAGAATGATCATCTCAAACTGGACTGGATGTTTCGACAGTCTCTGCTCATGGATGCAGTCAGGGTTAGATTTCTTAATTGTCTTTCACTTCGGTTAATAATATTAATAATATTCAGCTTTTTTATAGCGATTCATACATCTCGGATGTCTCTGAGCGCTTTACAGACATACTACTACCCCGGTTATTGGATTCAGTGCTTGCCCGCACACAATATTATGTGCACAATCTCCACTCCCTGGGGAGCATTCCAGCCAGGCGTTACTTGACGGCTCTCGTATTCAAGAGCTTAGCAAATTAAATCAAATGATACACGTTACTTCCGGCTCTGTTATTACTTTCTTGTAGAATTCCCTTCCCATTTAAAATATTTCTTGCATGCTTAGAAATGATACGCATCACCTGAATTAGTCAGTACTCGAACTTTATGTAGACTATGTTTGTCTGATTACTTTTAGAGACAGCTCTCTTTAACATGTATTTCTGTACGAACGTACTGTATATACTGATTTTAATGCGAGTACCAAAGACCAAACGACCAAAATAATTCACATTTTCTCACCAGCTTGAAAACAGTCATATCGCTTTCAAAAGTTTGTCCATCTCGAAGTAAGAAAATGTTCACTTTTGGAAGATGCCTTTCTTTTCTTCAAATATCTACTTTAAATTATCTTTTAGGGGACCCACTACCTCCACGACAGTGGAATTGGAGTCCACGGCCGAATGATGTCATCAAACTGTGTAGTCGATGGGCGGTTTGTTCTCAAGCTAACCGACTTTGGGATTCCCTCATTGAGACCGTCCTTTATTGACAGTGAAAACAAATACAGTAAGTCAATAATTTAGATTTATTATATCAACAATTAAAAGAAATCATAATGTCTAGAAAAATATTATATAAATGAATCATTATGATTATGATTACAAAAAATACTTATATATTCATTTATATTCCACATACTAAGAATCTTGCTCTACGATTGGTCAAAAGTAAATCACGGGATGAAAGATAGTTCGCCCATTATTGATGGGAGAAGCAAAAAGTTTGTTACACTGTGTAGATAGTACTACTATCTACACAGTGCAACGCACTTTCACTGAAGATAGAGGTACTATCTACACAGGGCAACGCACTTTCACTGAAGATTATCCAAAATCGCACTAAAACAAGCGTAATTAAGCGCGCATTACCAATGTGCGCAATTAAAGCAAACACATGCGCGCACCGTACCCTCAAGGGGTTGGGCTAAACTTTAACTTTTTTGGTTTGAATTTGGGGCTGTACTGGTGTCTTTCATGTAGATGCATACACGTCCTTCTCTTTTTGTAGTTAAATTGTTTTAGATGTGGAATATAAAGCAAATAATCACCTTTTGGTTTCAGGCGATGGCAAACTATCACTTCCTCGTCGATCAGAATGTATACGCTATCTTTCCTCAGCTTCGCTTCGGAAAAATAGCTACATCCAGATCGCCTCGGAAGTGATAGTTTTGTCCCATCACCTTCACCAACGGTAGTTATTTGCTTAATATGCATCATATCTATATTTACATTTCGTTTGGGGTGTTTACGTAACTGTCTTTCAAGTAAAGGACGAAAGCGCTTGACAATGATACCTTTTTTTAGATTTAATTAAATTATGATTCTGCACTTAACGCACATTTTCAATGCCACTGGGGAATTTTCCAGGTAGATACAAAGGTTACAGGCACCACTCGTTATAAATCCAAGCATAATGACGTCTCTTCAAATTTTATTTGTTTAAGTCTCTTTCATTTATATTATCTTTTCCTTCCTTCTTCTTCTTCTTCTTCTTCTTCTTCTATATCTATATACATGTAATAGTATATCTGTAAAGCGCTTAGAGACATCGTAGATGTATTAGGCGCTATATAAAAGCGGAATATTATTACTATTATTATTATTATTATTATTCTACTTCTTCTTCTTTATTTTCTTCCTCCTCCTCTCTTTCTCGTTCAATTCCATCTCCATATTCTTCAGAGCTCTTGTGGAGGGCTCCAGAACACCTCAGAAACCCCAATAGCCCTCCGACGAAAGAGGGAGACATCTACAGCCTAGGGATCATCATGTTGGAGATAGGCACACGATCAGGACCGTTCGATGAAGAACGCAAGTTCATGGATACTGACCGTAAGTCCTTTGAGTATAGTTTCATCTGGTTTCAGACTCAATATCAAAAAGGAAATTAAAGAAAATTGGAACAAGTCTTAATCGTATTTCGTGAATCTTTTGCATAATTTGGTGTTGTTATTAGGCCTTAATTCGGTATCACAGGGGTTCGGCCTAATGTTCGGTAAGTTCTCAAGACCGAATATCAGATTTTCAAATTCTATATGCGAGCGAGCGAAGTGAGTGAGCAAAAGGTAACATTTTTGCATCGAAAATGTAATTTTTCCTCCAAAATTTTCTGTAAAGATGATAAAAACTACGAATCGGTCCTCTCGTTGCCCGAACATGGGGGAGCGGTTGCTTTGATATATCTACTAACTGTCATCGGCCACGGTCTTGATTCTCATAATAAAAATATGAAATGATGTTTCCGAATAATTGTACAGAGATCTTGGAGTGCTTAAAGTCAACGACAACTGAACCACCGTTTCGTGCCTCGATTCCCGAGTCGTCATGGGGTCCTGAGATCAAGGATCTCATGAAGCGATGTTGGGAAGAGAACCCAAGCGATCGACCAACCGCTAGTACTCTCCAGTCAACACTAAAGAAAGTTAACAAGTATGTTTGGTCTAGTTTCATCGGTAACAATATTCAGAATCGTGATATCAATGTAAGAGACGTGCTCTGGGCACAAGGGGCACCCCTTGACAAATTCACCGTACTTATTACAAATGTGCCCCCTGCCAGTTGAGATTCTGTTTATCGTTTGTTTTGTTTTGTTTATTTGCTCGTCAGATCCAACTCCCCCACCCCCCCCCCCAAAAAAAAAGAAGAAGAAAGAAAACGTATTGTTAGATCAAGGGCTTTAATCTAGCAGTTCTAATATTCAGTCCATGATTTGAATAAAAGTGATTCTACCAGAATATGTTTATTGTAAAAGTATAAAACAACAACATAAATGAATAAACCTCTCATTCAGTTCAAGAATACGACAATTCATTATTTATTCTCCGTTATTCATTGTTTTGCTTTCTTGTCCATTACAAATAAGGTAAATTGCCAAACATTATTTGAATATATTACATTTATCGTTTGGACCGATGTTTGTGAGTTGCTTCGTTTGAAACCAAACGAACGAATGTTGTTTAGATTTCAACTATAAATTAGGTTTTCACCATCTTAGTATGTTCAAGAATTTTGTTTTGTTACATAGGGGTACGTCTAGCGGTGGTAACATTCTGGACAATCTGTTGAATCGTATGGAACAGTATGCCAGCAACCTAGAGGCTCTGGTGGAAGAGAGAACAGCTGCTTTCCTCGAGGAAAAGAAACGATCAGAGACACTGCTCTATGAAGTACTACCCAGGTAAATACAAGATAATACTTAAAGAAACGATTAGATACACGGATTAAGAAATATATGTATAATTGTTTGACTTAATGATTGTGAGACATATACATATACAATTTTTCCGAGGGAATGTGAATTTAGGAATAAAGTATTCAAAGTATCATAAGTACAAATGGCATCCTTTTACTGCTGCTTTACAGTAGTAACACATTTGATCTGAATAGACAATAGAATACCGTTGTACCAGAACTCCAAAAGAGTGGATAAAGGTACACGAAAATAAATTATCGAGAAATTAATTTTGTAACATGTTTGTCGTTGTCGTTTGATAGAATTTGTTGTATTTCATCTTTTATCTCTGTAGATCTGTGGCGGAGCAATTGAAGCTAGGCAAGTCTGTCGACCCCGAGTCTTACGAGAACGTCACCATTTTCTTCAGTGACATCGTTGGGTTTACCGCCATCTCTTCCGAGAGTACACCCCTTCAGGTACGTCACTGCGGATTCGTTATAGACATTCTACATGTGCTTATTTTTTGTTTAAAGCTTATCTGTACTTGTTTATAAGAGGGAATAGACCGCCCTGCAAGGTCACTGGACAGGTGGTTATCTCATCAACTCAGCTTTCATTAACATAAGAAAAAGAGGATCATGGGGGACCAATGGTCACCGATTAGGCATTGTTTGCTATACAGAGGGAGCAAGTAGCTACGAGTAGGACAGTGTGGCTTTAAGATTCGGGTACCTACGCGTAACTACTAAATGGACCCACGTGCCGTTGTGAAGAAAGGAGTGGATTGACAATCCGTCTACTAATTCTATATTTTTGGTTGTAAATAAAAGTCAAAATTGTTACTCGGATTTTTCTCTTCTCTTCCCTTCAAGACAGACAAACTACCCTTCATCCGTATGGCGGATGGCATGGGGTGACGGCTTTATTGCAGTTTGGTTTCATTTGTTTGATGGTTTATTTTACATGACTGCTAAGGGAGCATTGTATGCTTGTAACAGGGATATGTGAGTTAACTCACATATCCCTGCTTGTAAGTCCTCGCCGAGAATTGAAACCTTACAAAGGGGCAAAAGCACATCGGATCCTCCCAGCTACGAGACCACTGAGCAAACTCGTCTTGGAGTTATGAATCTGATTTCCTGGTGGGAACATGTCCTTTTTTCAACCTTCCACTTTCAATTTTTTTTGTCTAGCAGTCTCCCTCTGTATCAGTTTTAAAGATTTTCACGACCACATGCCAAATTAAGGTCAACTTATTCAAATTTAAAACAGAATGATACATACAGAATTATATGATTTTAAAAAAATCCTTACATCCGTCAACTTTTTCATGTACGATTCTTCTCATACGATTAACATGTACCATTCTCTTCCTTATCTTGCAGGTGGTTGCTCTCTTGAATGATCTCTATATTTGTTTTGACGGCATCATCGCTAACTCTGATGTTTACAAGGTATGAATACATGCTCTTTGATGGAAAAGAAGAAAAAGTTTAACTAGGTTGAGTAGAATGCAAATAGCAATGAAGAAAATAATATTCAGTTCTTGAGTAGCACATAATGTGAAACTCCGCTTCCAAAGTGCTTGGAAGTTATTAGTCAGATTTTAGCCGAGATTCACTGATATATCTTGGAGATTTCGGGTACAGACAAAAAGTATTTAGGTATCAGGAAGCGACTTCAAGAAATTGGTTTAGACCCAAAGTTGACACAAAAATCGACGCATGATTTACTCGGAAGGTAGATAAACTAAATTAGCACCTGGATACCGGCTGTTCTCTTCATGAAATGTGAAGAATTTGGGGGGAAAATGTCAATATATCTCAAAGAAATGCCCTAAAAGTTGAGTTTCAAACTTTCGCAAGCCACTATTCATAATTGTAAAGGAAGGAATTTTCTCCCCATTATATGATTGTCTATATTTTATTATTCACTTTTTCTTACGTATAATTATGTATCTCGACCGTTATGTGTCTAAAAGACAGACAAGAGCTTGCCAGTTGTGAAAGGATCCCATTTATTTGTACTGCTCTACAGGTTGAAACTATCGGCGATGCTTACATGGTGGTATCGGGTCTGCCCATCCGCAATGGCATTACGCATGCTCGTGAGATCGCCGAGATGTCCCTGTCTCTCCTGGAGGCTGTCAAGTCGTTCAAGATACGCCATCGGCCCGATGAACAACTAAAGCTACGAGCAGGGATACATTCCGGTAAGAACGGACATTTATTTATTTATTATTTGGCATTGTCCTCGAGAGCAGCGGCTACTATGACCTGGAGTAAACTTGGTTAAGAATATTCATTCATTTATTCAAGATTCAACATCGTCCTAGTAAAAATCTAGAGCAACACATTCTGAACTACTCAAGAGGGAAAAGCCCTGTACTCATTCAGGTTCTGGCATCCGGAATCTGAGCGCCTATAGATAAAGAAGAACATGGCGTATATGTTTTTCTTCATCATCTGAAAGAAGTTTTTGTATTTCCGTTTCAGGTCCATGCGTTGCTGGTGTGATCGGTCTGAAGATGCCTCGGTATTGTCTCTTCGGTGACACGGTCAACACCGCCTCCAGGATGGAGTCAAATGGAGAAGGTAAGGGATGGGGCTACGATGTTTATTTTTTAACGTAAGTTCTGAAGTCTACCAAGAACAGGGGAGAGTGGCGTCGTTAGAACAAAGAAAAGGTCATCAGATTTCGATTTTAAAGGGTCGGTCGGTTGTTGGTTTCTTTTACGTCACTGCTTAGAAAGCATGACTGTGTACGACTGTAAGCAAGCAACTAGGGGCTAGGGGACCGATAGCTTAAAGTCGTTTCAGAAGGACTTGGTAGTGAGGATTAATGCCTTACGAAAGGGCCCTAGCGACTTGGTTTCAAACCCGGGACATGTCTGTTACGAAAACTATGCTCTGCCACGGAGCCATCGCGCCTCATTTAAGCAGTTAAAAAAGTAGGTTCTAAAAATACACATTTGTATTTTCGACCAAGATTTTGAGTTTAGAATTCCAGTCCCAATTCCTCCATTCTAGCAACACTACAGAGAGGAGGGTGAAAAACGTTTTTTAATTTTTGTAAAAGAATAGTGGTATCAGAGATCAAGCGCGTAGCTACGATTTTATTTTAGGAGGGGCGGTAGTACGTGAGCGCCGAAGCGCGGTCCGTAGGGTGGGGGCAGTGGCGGATCCAGGGGGGGGCCTGGGGGCCCGGCCCCCCCTTGAGAAAAAATCATGCAAAATCACGCGATTTTTACCTTTTTGGGGGGTTGGCCCCCCCTGGCGCTCAAGGGTGTGGGTGCAAATTTTAAAATTTTCGAGGACCCCCCCCCCAAAAAAAATGTGCTCACTACCCCCCCCCCCCCCCCCCCCCCCCCCCCCCCACTGAGCGAATTTTCGGCTGGCTCAGTCGTTGCGATTTTTTTTGGACTCCAAAAAAAAAAAAAAGTGTCCGCTTACCCCCCCCCCCCCCCCCCCCCGGGGGGGGGGGGGGGGGCGACCACTCCCCACCGCCCCCTGGCTACGCGCCTGTCAACGATTGGATGGATTAAACATAATTAAAAATTCACCCTTTTTTACCAATGTACAGATTTCATTAATTCGATATATTAGAAAAAATTATATGTGATAATAATGATGTCGATGTCATTCCTGAAAGTTTCTAAATGTGCTTTCAGATTTTGATTTCAAAAGAAACAACAAACTGATCCCCACCTTTCACGTATTCTTTCCTATCAGCCATGAAGATCCACGCGAGTTCAGATTGCAAGGAAATCTTGGACAAGTTTGATGCTTTCGAGTTGGATCTTAGAGGGCAGGTGGAAATGAAGGTAAGAAACGGGATGAAGGGCTGTACCGTTATTTTTGGATCACTAAAACAATTGAAAGTCATCGGTGTTGTTGCTGCATTTGTAACAATAGGAGTTATAAAATAATGTTTCTTAATCAGATGTATATTTAAATGAAATTCGTTTATTATTCAACGATTCAATGCATACATCTTTTGCACAAGCTGCGCCTTTAGCATTTGACTGTCAAGTGGATTTGGCGCCTTATAAATCGTATGTATTATTATTCTTATTAATACATTCTTTCAGTAATTCAATGTCTTCCATTTCATCTCACAGGGCAAAGGATCACAGACGACGTACTGGTTGCTATCGCGAAATTCTAAGAAGGAGAAATGCATCTATTAATTATTTGAAAAATCTACACGGTTCGCCGAGGAACTAAAAAAAACAGTCGATCTGTCAACAAACGAGTCATACATGCGGTTTTTCATGTAATTCATGTGTCATGTTGACAATATTTAGCAGTCTTTAACTACTTATACTTTGTTCCATTATGCAACGGTGATGATGTGTAATGTTTGGTTACGAAAGAACAAATGTTAATCACTTGCCTCTTGGGATAGATATATGTGAATGCTGATACAACTTCAAACCGTCTATGACCTTGCATACGTCGTTGAATTGTACTTATGGATGGAGCAGATACATATTTACATCAAACTCAAAGATGTAACATATCTTTTCTTTATTTATTCATATATTACAAATGTATTCATATATTACAAATGTATGCTCAGAGTTTCGCTGTGTGACTTTTACAGGCATATATACTAACGCACCTCCTAAAATCTATATAAATCAGAGAAGAGAGAATGTACATGTATATCAGATACCTACGCAGTAGCATATCTACAAAATAACATACACATTTTGTAATAAAACACCAAAGGAATTATGAATATGGTTAGTACAAACATATTGTACAAATGGGATAAAAGCAACTTAAAAAATGATAACAGAACAAGTGCAAGTTCGAGAATCAGTAAACAGGATAAGTGTAATCAGACATGTGATGAATATACAAGTGCAATTTTAATAAATTATAAATAGGATAAAATTTAGGAAATGATTAGTAATGTGCAATACTGAAATGTCAAGACATTCTTTAAATGTTATATGTATAAAGTATATTTTGTAAATACATATGTACATGTAGGTTTTATGAGAGTTGTATAGAAACGAATGATATTCTTGTACATTCATTAATATGCATATACTTTACATGAATCAAGTGACCTATCAAAGGCAGTTTCATAATTATCATTATCGATATTTCATATTTTATCATCTAAACTTCATGCAGAACACAGTACATTCTAAAGAGGATCCATTTAATCCAAAGACTAATTCATAACTCGTTTCATAATAAAAAAATATTTAACTTTTTAAAGAAGAGATAACTTTTGTTGACATAAATTCACATCCATAAAACGTGTAGTCTTGACAGAACTCCTTTAAAATATTTAAGTATTATTCTTTGGCTACAATATGAGTATAACAAACAACAACTGTGTAAATATATTTTGTTATGTGTGCGAAGTTTCCGAATCGATAATTATTTATATCTGATAATGTACATTTGTAGCATAGGCTGTATTATAAAATCAACTTAATATTGGAAATTGTTAGAGCTACTAACAGCAAGTTTTTAACCTACATGCCTTGATCGTTGCTAGTACTTAATCGAGCGGTTGTAATGATTAGGCAGTACGAGAGGTGTCTTCGAAATAACATAACATGCTTTAGAAATCGAATATTTTAACCATGTGCGGAAAAATAAACTCTGCGAAAAGTGAACATTTATCAAAATCCATACTTGATGAATAACAAATAGACGATAAGCTATACAGCAAATTGAGTTCAATGACCACACTACAATTATTGATATATATGACAATGTTTATAATATACCGTGACCATATAGCTATATTCTGGCGTTATATTGAGTTACACCATTAAGTAATAATTCATGGGTGACGATTTACGTGTGCTTTAGTTAATTGCTCAGTCCTTTCAGAGTTAGTTTACTAAGTCTTGATGTTGGGAAAGGAAGAATTTATATTGTAAATATGTATAAGATGTTGCTTGATTAGATATTAAAGTAATGTTTGAAGTAAGCTGCATTTATTTGTGGGTATTCCCAGATTGTTATGAGCTAGCATTATGTGCACGATACTAGTACCCCCACCCCATCCTCCGTGGAATGTAACCCCAAAATGTAACATATACCTACAAATGTTATCATGATTAAACAAATCAAAGGAAACCAACTAAAATCAAATAAAGCTTCAGTAAAATCTTGAAATAAAACATTACGTTTATTATGGCTCATTGCCTGCTGTGTACAAAAAAAAAGAAATCGAAAAAAAAAAAAAAAGATTATGTAGTAAATTCCCCCCCCCCCCCCCTCGTACTGTACCAAGGAGGATTCTTAATTTTAACTTTTGAAAAAATGGACAAAATAATTATGCCCTTGTCTCATGAAATAGCAAAAGGATATTTGCAGAACTGGAGAGTTGGGAAAAAGTGAAGAAGGCAATATAATAGATAAGAAGTATATTTTTTGTCCCCTCCTTCACCCTCCCAGGCTCGTTGGATTTGTTCCTTTATTCACTGTATTTTCATATACCCCTTGTAAGAACCAGGGAGAAAGTCACATCTCCATGTAAGAACCCTGCCAACCACTCCACCCTTCCATGCTGGATCCATGCTGGATCCATGCTGGCTAGTGTCCCCTCAATGACTTGACCCACGCTGGGGCCAACTAGCGGTTGTGAGAGATGAGAAAGTTGGAGAAAGGATACACTGCGATCCTTGGCTACAGGGCGGACCTTCAGAAAATTGATTTGAGGGTTCCCGGATCACGAGAACGACGTCCCACGAGACTGACGATGTCATTTCAGGCTCGCATGCTTTCAGACAACTTAAAAAGTTGTGAATTTTCCATGAAGACCGACAGCTCACTACTGTCTTGTCCGACGGTCTCCCGGGAATACTGACAACTTTTCCTAGTTTTTACGAGACCAACATTACCAGTCTCAAGGGTTGTCGGTCTATCCTTCATGCTACATCCTTCCTCACATACATTTATGATCAAAGTATTAGACATGTAAGTCTTCATACATTGAAATCTTCATATTCCTCATCGTCATCGTCGTCGATCTGTATCGAAAAGTCTCCAAAAGGAGGTGCACCGAAATCATCGTCGTCCTCGTACTGACCTCCAAGAAGGTACTGGTTCTCATCGTGGTAATCGTTTTTGGAGACGCGCTTTGTCCTGTGTGCGTATTCCTCGTCACTCGAATCTCTGAAAGCAAGGAGGGAAAATGTTTTTGATGAATAATCGTAAAGTAAACTCTCAAAGCCCCTTTTTCACCTTCTGAATACAACTATCTACAATAAATGCAAATGTTTCTAGTTTTGCGTAAACGTTCTGTTAAAAACAAGACACATGAATTATTTTTGTTTATAGGTAGATGTAAAAAAAAATAACCAGAATAAGTTGCACAGCATAAAAAGAATATTTGAAATACAGAATATGTTAAGGTAATGGTGTAACGTGATTCGAAGTGTAAACTTTAAGAGATGTCTCGATTTACTTACTTTTCTTCGCTGAAGTCTGAAAATTCAATATACTCCACGGGTTCCATACATAACGTGCACATGTTGTGGATCTCAGCAATGCATTCTAAACAATAAACAGCTAAAATAGGGAGACAAATATGATTGTTATATTACTAATTTTTCTACTTCTTGTATAACTTCAAAGCTAAAGAAAAATTTAATTTACATAGCATGAAAAATTGCGACCAATGATTGTCAATAATTTTGTCTTTAGTGTCTTCAGTTTTTATCATCAAATCGTCAATGAAATTATATCCCTGATTTGTTTAATTTAAACTGTTCCTTTTCTTTTACCTACCTGGACAAGCTGAAGTTCCACAGTTCCTGAAGTTGGTAAGATTGTCTGGTTTTCCCGGCAGTCCACACTCGAGACAGTACTTCCGATCATATCCACAGCAGCCGAGAAACATTCGACAAATCTTTGAACTGTCGAGTAAGAAATAATTGTTAAGACGTTAATCAGCATTTTGCACCAGCTTGAACTTCTGCAGTCTGCGTTCAGAGCTGACGCTGGACTATGCGAAGGAAGGGTTGTTGAAACGAAAATAAACGTGAACATTACGACAAAAAAGAAATAAAGGGACCTTTTAATGCGCCGACAAGAGAAAAATTGGTCACCGTATTTCCAAAAATCGCAAATAGAGGTTTCAGTCCAATACAAAAAAACATCATGTTTTTCCACATGGCTTTAAAATTCTCGAATTTTCTGAGAGGTATATATATATATATATACAGTTTTAAATAGTCGGCGTCCACTCCTTGCCCCATCCCCGGTACGGTCGTGGTCATATTTTAGATTGGTTTCTTGTACTAATCAAAACGTATATTATGGCAGTGTACGTTAAACTAAAATGATAAACCTGAATGAATTAAACCCCCAACGCAAATGAAGTATTACAGATATCACCCTCCGCTGAGAGAATTATTCAGGCAATCGACCCAATGAATACATGTTAGTTTTGTTATTACAGATTCATGAAATCATTATAGTATGATTAACATTAGGACTACTATTCTAAATAAGTATTGCAGAACCAAATTGAATGAGACGGAAGAAGCATGTGAGACAACTGACCGTTCTTTGCTTTAATAACATTATAACATTTACAGTTTAGCAGTGCATTATCACTTTTAGCCGTGCATTATCACTTCTAGCCGTGCTTTTACGGTAGCACTATATGAGAGAGGGAGGATTGGGGAGTCCTGAAAAGGACTGTCGGTAATCTTTCTTTCTTGGGTGTGCGTGTGGTCCTAAAGAGGACTGTTGGTAATCTTTCTTGAGCTTACAGTTCTAAAGAGAACTATAGCGCCGGTTGGAGAGGATCAGTAGTAGGAGGGGCTCATTATTGCTATCTTTTTGTAATATTTATCAAGGTTCACTGTTTCCATTACTACAACAAAAAAAATTGCTTAGACATGCCAAAGTGACTGACGGAGGCGGGGTACTTACCTAGATGCCAATTTGCTCCTGAATCCAATATTCTCCTCAGTCTTATCAGGTCCATGCCTCCCAAATTTCATCATGAGAGCTTCCACCAAGCCGCCTCGTTTCCTCATGATGTGGTTGTAGAGCCAGACGACCCGGTACTTCTCCCTCTCAGGGTAGAAGTAAGCTGCCCCCACCCGGCGAAGTCTTCGGCCGTAAGACTCGGTTAGCACCAGTAGCAGACACAGGAGAAATATGCCTCCTAAAGTGATTTTTTTTTTTTTTTTTAAAGGCGGAAAAAGAGAGCGAGTTCACGAAACCGTTATAGGTACATGTACAAGTTTATATGCAGAAATCCCATTAAAATGCGTGTAAATGTTATTACACACGCTTCATATTATTGGATGTCGTTGAACTTGTATGATAGGGGGTTGTGTGTCCGGACACTCAATAAAATAAAGCATTCACTTTTACCACAGAAAGTATGAATCAAATAGCACTGACCATAATATGTGTTCGTCCTTTATGATATTTTATTACATAAGTCTTAAAGATTTATGAAATAATGTATGTAATTTTCTTCAATTTGCTGGTTTGATTAACCTGACACAACCTGACACAACATCTGGGTATACTTATGACCGTTTCGTGGAACGATGTCCTGGACTCCTTTAATTCGGACATTGAATAGGGAAATCATGTGACTTACCTATTTGGTAGTAGGAGTAGAGATCAGGAGGATTGGCTGCTGGTAGACACTTAGTGGTATCAACGGTGATGTTAGCATGAGATGAAGGATCAAGTGCCTTTATCAAGACTCTGTAGACGTCAGAGAGTAACCCATCACCTTGGACAAGCAGATGGACAGTCCCGGGCACTGCCAATCAAAAGAAATTAGGCTCTGTAAGCATAACTACATACCATACATAAAAAGTGGAATCAGTGTTATTTATAATAAGTGCAGAGTGTTCAAAGAAAATTCATTTCCCCGTGGGATTCGCGCCGGCCCTTTTTTGCCAACTCAAAGCCCTCCTATTCCTCTTGCCGCGTCATATGTAAACAAGGCTTGAGAGGGCAGGGAGGGGAAGAAGTGCCCCCAACAAAAAAAATAACTAAATAATAATAATAATAATAAATAAATAAATAAATAAATGAATTAAAAAAAAATGAATTCAAAATAAATAAATATTTTAATTAATTAATTTTATAAAAAAATATTTAAAAATATAAACAAATAAATATATACAAATACAAATTTTGTTTCTCAAAAAATAACGATTTAGGAAATCCGCCAGCTTCCCAAGGCGCGAAAAGAGTTCCACCGGTTATGTTCTCTGGCATATATACTAATGATGGCATTTATTCGTCGTGATTTTTTTCTGAAGGATTTTTCAGGATCACAAACATTTCTACACTATAACGAAGAAAAGAAAAAGAAGAAGAAGAAAATGAAGAAGAAGAAGAAGTGGAAGAAGAAAGAAAACAAAATAGAAGAGGCAATAATTACATCCTTGCTTGACACTCATCTCGACTTTCTCGCGAATGACGGTGAGGAAAGAGAAAGCAGATATATCTGAGCACATGAGCATGAGAGCATAGCCTGCTTGGTAGAACCACATCACTAATCCATGGACCATCTTCCTACGTTCACTCTTAGCCAGACGTAGTGCAACTGTCAATCAAAAGAAAAACGATGCCGTTTATTTTTGCTGATTTTGGTACTACAATTTCTTTTTTTAGCCTATATAGTTTTGAAAATAATATTTTATATTTAGTAATAAATAATGTATATCAATAATTAAAATTCATTTGAATTAGAGAAAAACGGTGTGATTGTGGAGGAATTATCACTGAGAGACTTAGCCAAGTCTGTTGGTTTTCTGACATTATCATCAACAAGAATGAAAATCTCAGTCACGATGTTGTAGTCATTACATCCCATCCCTTCAATTTGGAAGAAAATGGAGTAACGATTACGCTACTGGAGAATGATTTAGAATGATGCAACCTGGATTGTCAGATTTGGTTAAGCCGGGGCCAAATACCCAATAGGCTATCTATTGCTAATATACATTTTTTGGTAAAGTATTCATACGAATAGAGATTTTGTATGATACACAGATCATCACATTATTGTAGATTGTTTGAATTTGTTTGAATATTATAACTACACATATTCATGAAGAAACAAAATAATGAGAAAAGAGAGATTGACTTAATATGATATACTAAAAAAGAGAAGTTTCTTACATGGCCGGACATAGTAGAGCGTCTCCCGGTCGCTGAGTGGAAATAAAGTGAATTTTTGCTTTGCGCGTCTTTTTTCCTCCAACCTTACAAACTGATCTGTGATGTACACGTTGTCAAACTTATCCTTTGTCAAATATTTCGATTTGTACTTCATGGCCCTGAAAATACAATCCAACACAAAACAAACTTCGTCATATGAGAAGATCCAAAATATATATTAATTCTCTCTTTTTCAAATAAAATGTATTTAAAAAAAACTTGGAAACGATTTTCGCTTATCTTCATGTCCCTGAATAAGTGTTCATGCACCCCTGCAAATATGGTCAAAAGGGCACAACTTCTATCAGGGGTAGCCATCTTTTGCCCACATATCAACTTTTCAAATTTAATTAAAAAGAAAGAAAGAAAAACTCACTTTAGAAACAGGAACACGACGGAAAATGATAAACAGTAGTTGACCCAAGACAGAACCGTTCTGATAATCGATGTCCTGCCTCCGATTTCCTCGATGATGGCGTTCTTGATGTCGTCAGGGGTCTTCGAGAAATTCCGGTTGAGGGAGAACTCGTGAGTGAACTCGAAATCGACAGTGAACTGTTCCTCTAACTTATCCACGGCAACGTCGAAGGCTGGGTTTTAAACAGACAATGGGTAGTTGAGGCTAAATGCTAAAAAGGGCATAGGCTAACCGGTGTGCATACCCTTTCAAAACCCAGTTGACATTAGAAGAACTACAAAGTGTCCTTTAATAATAATTTTGTATATTTCGTAAATTTCCCCCTCCCTTTTACAAAACCTGGATCTGCTCTTGACAGGGGTGGCGAAACGTCTTTCAAATTGAAGGGGGATAAAAAGGGCACTTTCTGGAAAAAAGGGGCCCCTACACAGGAAAACCTCAAAGCAAAAATATATAACATTTTTAAACATTGGTAGGCCCTTATATCTCTACATTGTGATTTGATTATCAGGGATGATTTCATTGTTTGTTTCTCTCTTTACATGTTTCGAGTAGATACCGCTTAAGCATCAGACTTTGCAGTTTGAAGTGATGGTCTTAATTTTCATTTGTGAGCGAGCAAAGCTAGCGTGCAAAAATGTTAAGATGTTTGAGTTCACAGTGCAAAAAATTACATCTTATAAAGAGGAAAACAAATCCTAATCATGAAATACTTAAAAGATCTTTATCAAAGGTAATTAATACAAAGTTTTGGGAAAATTCGAAAATTGGGTGGATAGTGATTCATTACAATTTTGATATATTTGGATGCCCCTGTGGATGTATTATGAACACTAGAGATTTTAGCCCCTAAAACACTTCTGCTTTCGAGAAAAATTGAATATAAAAATTTACCGGTGCTCCCGGTAAATTTTGATAAATTTCAAATAGCGCCTACGACCCTACTATGGTAGCCGCGACCATAAAAATCTCAGAATATGTATAATTTTTTAAACGGGAATAGCTAATCGGTCGATTTTAGACAAGAAACATTGTTTTATAGCTTAATTAATATCTTGACCTTGAGAGGGAGCTATACAACATAAAGACTTTATTATTTACAATTTCATAACTTTACACTCGATTTCAACCGCGACAACGATCACTGAATATTGTTAGATCGCTTAAGCATCCAATATACTCATTTGAACCAAATTCATGAACGCAATCCAAAACTTTGTATTACCTTTAAGAAACACAATTATGTTATATTAACTTATAATAATGCGAGCGAGCAAGCTTTGACTGAAATTTAAGAAACAGTCGCTTTTAGTCGCTTTAAAGTAGGAGCACCGTATTTTAAGTTGAAAGGGAAAAAATCCTAAATTCAAGGGACACTTATAAGAAAAGAAAAGGAGCATGTGTCAAAGTAAAAATCGGAATTATCAGAGGCGAAAATGGGGCACTACTCGCACCTGATAAGGGGCACTCACCAGAGATGAAAAAGGGCACTTTTGAGAACGGAAAAGGACACTTATTACAAAGAAAAAGGGGAAATTATCAGGAGGAAAATGACACTAATTATAAAAGGGGAAGGGGCACTTATCAGAGGTGAAACGGCAAAGGGGCATTTCTTGTACCAGAAAAGGGGCACTCACCTGAGATGAGTAAGGGCACTTGTGATTGTGAGAATGGAAAGGGGCACCTATGAGCTTTTGATAGATGCATTAATCAGACGTGTGAGAAGGTGCATTTATGAGAAAGGGAAGTGGATTTTGATAAAAAATAAAAGGGGCATTCATCAGAAGGAAAATCGGTACTTATTTGAAAGACAAGGGGCACGTGTCAACATAACGAGAGCACTTATGAGAGGTGAGAAGGGGCACTTTTAAGAAGGGGAATAGGCACATATTAAAACAGAAAAGGCTCTTGTTGAAGTAAACTAGGCATATCTCAGATTTGAATAGGGGCAATTATCATCGGTGAAGGGGGCACTTATCCCAGGTGGTAAGAGGCACTTTTAAGAATGTGGAACGGGCACCAATTATAAATAAATGGGTCACTTATCTGAAGTAAAATGGGGCACCTTTCTTTTGCAAGAAGGGGCACTTTAGGGGAACTGTGCCTACAAGCCTATATAATTGCTTTTTTTTTTTTTTCTGATCGCGAGTAGAATTAAAGAGTAAAGAAATGTTACCATCATTGCAATTTACCTTGTGTTGCCTTGTCTACAATCAAGCTGACTAACATTGGGAAAAGACAGAGAAGTTTGCCCACTAAATGAAAGAGACAAAAAAATAAATTGTTGAAGGATACATCTATAACTGGCATGGTCACAATTTGAATGGAGGTGATAAGAAAAAGAGTTGTTATCAATCAGGACCTTGTTTCATGAAACTATATCAAGTTACAAAAACTGATATTAGTTCAGTAGCAGTTCTAGAGGGTGGATCGGGGCTCGAGAGTCCCAAATTTCCTTGATAAATGATTTAAGTGAGACACATTTTACGTAGAAAATGAATGCCCAAAGCCCCCCCCCCCCCCACAAAAAAAAGAAGAGTATGCTAGAACTGCATTAGTATAAACTACGTATAAATAGCTGCGAGCAAATACAATTGAATTTGGGCACTTGTTATTGATAACAAGTTTTATGAAACAGGGCATCATAAAGATATTTGAAGTAAAATCTGGAGGCGAGATAAATCATCTACAAAGTGGTCATTCGAAGGAAGATTAACAAATTGAGGAGGATGATTATATAAAATGGCAAACATATAGGTCTACTTTCTGGGAACATGTGATAAGCATGTTAAGAAGTTGTAATGTCTCGCTATGTTGAACTAAATTCATACAAACACGATATAATATTATACGCAACAAATCACATACAAAATATACCACCGAACACATAGATACGAATTAATGGATCAGACTTGTACAGGATGTGCACGGTATGAAAAGTTAAGACTAAGATATTCTCCATCCTCCCAAGGTAGTTAAGGCCAAACAGGAAAGGTCCATTATTTGTTCTGTCAACTAAGCCTAAATCGAGAATAATCGGTACCAGTGCATTCTTAAACTCTAGTAACCTTTGTCTGGGCCCCTCCCTTATTTTTCGACATTCCCCCCCCCCCCCTCAAAATCATTATTCTTGATACACACATATATGCACATAAATAAAATAATTTTAATTAAAAAAAAAAAAACTGGATCCTTACTTTTTGGCCTTATACTACCTCTAAAGGATGAACATGGGATGGGGCATGGGGAGGTCTTCGTTTTATTAAAAACTGACAATGGCTAGGAGACGCTCAACTGGATATCATCAACTTCTTATACTTACTGTTAGCAACCTCACAAAGTTTACTTGTCAGATCGACAATGCCGCAGAGAATACCTAATCCTTTAGCCCTACACTTGTCTGCCCCTTCCTCAAACTTGTCGTAGCATATATCCCTTGGTCTTCCCATCCTCTCATTACACTTATCCACCAAGGTATCCATCCAGTCGAAGAATGCTTGGATCGCATCACCTAGACAAACAGGGTGCATTATTCGAATTCACATCAAAGTCGGCATCGATTTTGCATACGAGTCAAAACAAAGTTCAGTTGAGTGAAACGTTAATACGCATATATCAACAATCAAATTATGCAACATACATGTACATGAACATTACGAAAAAATATTGTCGCTATAATACCAATGAAAGACTATTATATGGCATAAAGTAGTTTCGGCATTGCAAGCAAGCTGAGCCAGCTGTGAAGAAATCAATGGGAATATATCATTATCGAGATCTATACCAAGGATGATTGGTTCACTTATAACATGACAGAAAATGAAATTGGATATCTTGAATGGTAGTTTGAGAAGCGGAAATGTAAATGCTGCGATGATGAAAGGGAAAGAGACGAGCAAAGATAAACATGTCAAGAAAATAAAGACTACCTATGACCCTCTTTATAGGCCTAAATTAGGATTATTTTGAGAATGAAGACCAAATAAAACCCATTAAAACCTACCATAAAGATACATGTATATGACAATACTCTCGGTTTGAGTCTGTTTTGATAACTTGGTATGATATGATAATTTGGAATTTTATTGAATTCATTAAATTCTTACCGATGGCTTTGACTGCATCTACGAGTGCCATGAATGCTTCGCTGGCTTTGTCAACAAGCTTCTTCACTGTCTCTATCATATCCTTCACACCATTAACAATACCTGTATGACAAAGGTTGAGACACAGACAAGACAGAGAGGAGGAGAAAGTGAGAGAGAGAGAGAGAGAGAGAGAGAGAGAGAGAGAAAGAGAGGGAGGGGGGAGAAGAGAGAATGACAGGGGTTAGAGAGAGTGAGTGAGAGAAAGAGACATAGAGACAGGAAAGAAAGTGATGGAGACAATAAAAAAGCAAGATAGAACACGACAAAAGGAGCAAGAGAGGGATAGAGAGCGATAGAGTGAGCATTGGATATAAAGCATCGTTAACATTTTGTATAGTAATATCAAAATATGTTAAATTTTTCTATAAAAACTATTTTTAAAGAGATCGTTCGTTCGTTCGTGTCTCCTTAGATCAAGATAGTAATGTAAAGTTCCTTAACTTAGAAGTAAATTAAATTAAATTAAGTTCTTCCATCGCTCGATTGCTGCAATGGCCGTTTCATTAACAAGGGACAGGTCTTCATCTGTGCAACCCGTTCCGCCGCACTGCAAGAGGTGGTCCATCGTCTGAGTCTCTCCGCAGTCGCAGAGAGTATCTCCTTCATGGGCATAGCCCCATCTTGCCATATTGACCTTACACCGTCCCATTCTCGTCCGCATTCGATTTAGGCATTGCCACTCCGGCCACTTCAGGTTAAGACCTTTGATGAGTACGGGCTTGACTGATGGTGGAGGATTCTGTTCAGGTGGTGGGACAGAATCGAGGAAGCTGTGTCGGGATATAAGTCGTTTGTGGGGTTGTAAGTATCCGTGTAGCATGTGTCTGTCATCTGTCGCCTGCTTCATCCGTTCCTTTAGGCAGGTGTTAGTGCGCCTTTGGTTAGGAGATCCAATGCCAGCGAGGTGATATATCTCCTCAACTTTTGTTGGTTTCAGACATCCTGTTATCTTTCGATATGTGTTATTGAGTGTGGTGTCAAGCTTCTTCACATGGGCTGATCTGCTCCAAACTGGGCAAGCATATTCTGCGGATGACATGCATAGAGCAACAGCTGCACTTTGTACAGTTTTGGGGTCAGCGCCATAGTGTGAAGATACTAGCTTCCCGATGATGGCATTTCGAGATTCTACTTTGCCTATTGTCTTCTCGATATGTTTCTTGAAGGATAAAGTGCGGTCAAGTTTTACACCTAAATACACTGGATGCTCGCAGTGGTTAAGTTGCACATTGTTCCACTTTAGCTTCAGTTCTCTCTTTGCCTCCCTGTTCTTCAAGTGGAAAACACACACCTGAGTCTTGGATGGGTTTGCCCGTAGGTAGTTTGCTCTGTAGTACTCCGAAAGGCTTGCGAGCGCTGTGTTGAGATGGAGTTCAACAGCTTCGAAGGTACTATGCTGGGCTGTGATGCAGGTGTCATCTGCATAGATGAAGTTTCGAGTGTTCTCTGTTGAAGGGATGTCAGCAGTGTATATGTTGTAGAGTGTTGGCGCCAGGACGCCACCCTGGGGGAGACCGTTTTTCTGTTTCCGCCATCTGCTCTTCTGCCCATCCAGTTCGACAAAGAAGCGTCTGTTCTGCATCATCTTCTGAATGAATCTGGTGAGTTTGAGGTCATTTGTGATGTCATGAAGTTTTGTCTGTAGCCTTCGGTGATTGACAGTGTCATAAGCCGCAGATAAATCCACAAATACTGCACCTGTGATGAGGTTGTTCTGAAAACCGTCTTCGATGTGTTGGGTCAGGTTGAGAAGTTGTCCCGTGGTGGATTTTCCTGGTCGGAAACCTGCCTGCTCACAGTTCAGTTGGCTGTCAACGTGAGGCCCAATTCTGTTGAGAATAAGGCGTTCAAGCAGCTTGTATGTTTGGCACAGGAGCGAGATCGGTCGAAAGTTCTTGGCTTCGTTCGAGTCCTTTCCTGGCTTGAGGATAGCGACGACTTTGGTTCGGAGCCACTGTTTTGGGACACATGTGTTCTCGATGCAGTTGTTAAACATGTCTAGCAGCCATTTCTGTGCTACAGAGCCCATGTGTTTGATCTGCTCCGATCTGATGTCATCGATGCCTGCCGCCTTGTTGACGTGTAGCGTGGAGATACCTTTCTGTAGTTCTTCTTCAGAAATAGGTCTTGTGAAAAGAGACATGTTCTGGTCAACTCCAGGTAGTTTGTGCCTGTGTGAATTAGTCGTCTTGGGGGCCTTTCCATTTTTCAACAGCTGATTTGCTACTTCGTCAGCCGTAACATTATAATGCTGTTGAGCTCTGGTGCTGTCAATTCCGAGCTTGCGTATGGTGGCCCACGCTTTCCTGCTGCTGTGTCTTAAGTCTGTTGTTTCAATCATGTGCTGCCACATCTGCCTATGTCGTTGAGATATCCTTGATATAAGCTCTTCTCCAAGGTTGATGGTATCCTCTGAGAAGGCATCTGTGTCGTAGGCTGTGGTGTAGTTTGCCAGAAGCTGACTTGATTCCTCATCGATGCCTGGAATGTATGTCGTGCGGCAGCCTCTTGGGATATGTGTACGTGACACCTTCTTGACTATATCTATGAAGGATTCATAGTTCTTTAAAGAGATTATATGACGTTTATTATGTTCAATTTGCCGTTTATTTGCAAGCAAAGGTTTGTAGTTTCCATTTTCAAGCGTTCAAATTTTAAGCATGATCAACAGACCCGATATTTAAAACTTATAACAACATAAAGAGAAGAAGGGGTGGATTACCCACCTCTCCGATTACTTACCTGAAATGGACCAGGGCAGTGACATCACCTCACCGCCATCACATTGCCTTCCACATTTCTAAACACAAAGGTGAATGTGTGAAGTATTCTCCTCATCAACACAACATTCCCACCTCTCCCACTACTTATCTGAAAAGTGGGCGGTGACATCCACTCCACCACGACCACCATTACCACTACCACCACCACCACCACCACCACCACCACCACCACCACCACCATCACCACCCCTTCTCCATCACCCTTTAGTATATTTACCAGAAAGAGGAGAGGTGACAATCTGAAAGATAGTCGATGATTGGTTCATGGCTAAGGCGCTTCCGCAAGCTTGGGCACGGCTGGCTGCATCCAGGTTATATGTGAGGTTTGCCAGAGGTCCGCCTAGTAAAAGGATGTAGGCATAGGCCATCAAGATCACCCGTCCTTTGCCTTCAGCGTCATGGACAACATAGAATAGAAAGTCATTACTTTGACTAGTGGTGTGGATACGCCGGGTGGGGCACGAACTCCCCCCATCGAATTAAAAAAAAAAACGAAAGAAAGACAAGGAAAAACAAGGAAAGGGAGAGCGGAAAAATGCGTGAAATGATTATAGGATCGTCTACATGTGGCCTCTATAATTCGCACTTCATTCACCGCGTAAAACCGGTTCCCCCCTCCCCCTCCTGATGCTATTACCCATACGATGACTGTACCCAGGGTATGTCACAACTGTTGAGGGGTGTGTTTTTCGTTCGAGATAACAGGATCTAAGTAACAAGAGTAAAGGGCTATGAAAGCAAGAAACACAAAGTAGAATATCCAGAGGATAAAGACCTCATACTCTCTATGAGTTTATGAAAATGATGTAACATAAGAAATAAATATGTTCATCTTTTTTATGAATTGACGAAATTGGCACCATGTGTACTAAACACGAAGAAGAATATACAGGAAGAGTGAGGGATTTTTTTTTGGGGGGGGTGTGGGGGGGGGGGGGGTTAAGAGTATGCCAATATTCTTCAACTTTTGAAATTGTGACATCAAACAGATTTTCATGTATTATATTATTATCTGTATACCCAATTTCATAAAACAGTTAGTTGAAGTGATATAAACAACCACAAACCTGTAAAGAATTGCGGCAGCATCAGTGTAACTATGCAGCGCACCCGGGAAGAAAAGGCCAGTCCAAAACAGAATATGAATCCTAGGATGGACGTTGTTGTGACCGCTCTCTTCCACTCATAGCCCATGATGAAGATGAAGATGAAATAGAAGAGGAAAGCAAGTATGCAACCCGAGAGGAAACCAGCGATGTTCTTGCCCAAGGTGTTGGGGTAAGAACCGGGCACACAACACCACTTCCAGCAACACTGCAAAGAAGAGGTTGAAATTTACCCGTTTGATTGCATGTGATGTTAATGCTTTTAAACCTAACCCGAATTTCCTTCACACTTCATAGACGTGTGACCAAATTAATTTGCAAGAAAGGTAATATGGCTTTGTGCCTGTCAGATATTTTGAAGAAAATGCCACCCTTTCTTTAGGGCGTGATTTATAGGCCTATTCTTCTCATGGTTTGTTCAGAATAAGGAAAACAATCAATTTCCATACACTTTGAAGAAACAAGAGGCAGTCAAAATCATCAGAAGATTATCAGAATGTTACCATTATCATCGTCATCATTATAATCATCATCATCATTATCATCGTCATCATCGCTACCACCATCATCATCGCCAGCTCCACCACCACCACCACCATCATTATAATCATCATCCAAAATCCTCCTCCTCTCCTCGTCATCACCATCATTATCATCATCTTCAGCACCAAGCATCCCTCTCCCCTTTCCCCTCCTCCTCCTCCTCCCCGTGATCTCACCATTACCATCATCATCCATAGCATTCCTAGCATTCCCAACATCATCCTCATCACCATCATCATCACCGTCATCATCATCATCATCATCATCACAACCACCACCACCATCATCATCAGCTCCTACATCATCATCTTCGTCATTATTTAGAAGTAATTTTATTACCTTTGCCTCAGCCGGCGTCCGATCTCGGAAGACCTTTTTCAGGCATTTGCAAAGACACCAGCAGAAGCACGTTAGAATCTTCCAGATGATGAAGAAAATAATCTTCAAAACAACCTTGATGAGCCCTGGCCGTTCATCAGCTGCCAACGCGCCTGTAGCGGCTACGTCTTGTTCAAAGATCTTTACGGATGGCCTTCGACGTTGATCCTTCTTTTGGCTGCCCTTGTCTTTTCCTTTCTTCTCTTCTTTTTTCTTCCCTGGCGTCACTTTCCGGTCCATTTCTTCCTCATCATCGTAATCAGACCATTCGCTTGCACTTTCTCCCTGCAAGATAAGACAAGAACAACGTAAATTGCTTTTATACAATCAATGGAGGCATCGTTATTTTGGATAAGGACAGGAACAAATTGTAAAATCAAGCTTCCATATTAAAGGTACTATGTCCCATTTGCAGGCCAAAAAATGAAAAAGTTAAATTCCAACAGCATTTGAAAGATAATACTAATTTAGAACTTCCCTAAAAAAAAAAGGGGGGGGGGGGCTTGAAAATGTCTTTAAGTGCAAAAATAACTTCTATTAGTTGTCGAATCGACTTAAGAGCTATAGAGCCAGTAAGTAATAGTCTGATTTTCAGACAATTGTACCGAATGGACATACGTTTTATGCTGCGCAAATATTCAATCATTTTAATTTTGGCCATTACAAGAAGTGGGTTATTGATGTAGACAAATGCTCATGTAGCCTTTACAGCTCATTTTGTGTATGTTATTACCAAAGAAGAAAAAAAAAAGCCAGTCAGTCACTCAATAGTGTCTGACGGTGAAGTCTAGCAAGTAAACAGGTTTCCTTGCATAATTTGAATATTAGGACACTGCTAACGTTTAAATTTCGCAGATAGGACCTACATGATATATTCATAATTCCTGCAAAGTTCTACAGAATTTGAGGTTGGCTGCAAAAGGGACATAGTATCTTTAAAGTTATATCTTTTATGTTTTTGAGAAGTAGTTGTGAGAAAACGACACCTGCTCGTCACTGGACAGGTGCGGCAAATGCTTGTGCTAGTTCTCTTGATGCAAAAGTCCGGTGGTCGGATTTCAGGAAGAAAGACCGGCCGGTGTCCATTTAGTTTTAGAATTTAATCTGTCATGTGTCTACAGTAAAACACATACATGTACCACATAAAATTTGTGTACTTGTGCCCCTCTAAAGGCACCTGAAAATGCATGAGAAAAAGCTGGCACCAGGCAAAGTAGCGTCCCTTGCGTGATGGATGAAAAGAATGAAAGCAGAGAACAAAGAGAACAAAGAAGATTAAAGGTACTATGTCCCTTTTGCAGCCAACCTCAAATTCTGTAGAACTTTGCAGGAATTATGAATATGTCATGTATGTCCTATCTGTGAAATTTAAACGTTAGCAGTGTCCTCATATTCAAATTATGCAAGGAAACCCGTTTACTTGCTAGACTTCACTGTCAGACACTAATGAGTGACTGACTGCCTTTTTTTCTTCTTTGGTAATAACATACATGAAAAGAGTTGTAAAGGGTACATGAGCATTATTTTGCCTACATCAATAACCCACTTATTGTGATGGCCAAGATTAAACTGATTGAATCTTTGCGCAGCATAAAACATATGACCATTCGGTACAATAATTGTCTGAAAATCAGGATTATTACTTTTGGGCTCTATAGCCCTAAAGTCGATTTGACAACTAATAGTCGTTATTTTCCCACTTGAAGACATTTTCAAGCCCCACCTTTTTTAGGGAAGTTCTAAATTAGTATTATCTTTCAAATCCAGTTGGAATTTAACTTTCTCATTTTTTTGGCCTGCAAATAGGAAATAGTACCTTTAAGGGAGGGATTATATCATTTTATTTTCCCCCCTCCCTTTCCCCTCTCTTTATCTCCTTTAAAAAAAAAATTATTCGATGAGGGAAAGGATATGTATTATGTGCCCCCTCCCCCCCCCCCCCCGAAGCTACGCCACTGATTATATAGGCAGTAATGACATTGATTACGCACAGTTATTCTTCTAGTGTTTATACCAAGGCGTTATGTGCTAGGACCAGTAATTATTTTGAAGAAGTTTATATTCAATATATCAGAAATCTATTGATTTGTTCTAGATAATATTGTAAAAGACAAATATTTATGATTGTTATTGCTATTTGATGCATAATATTCGTAAATCCAAAGGCAAATGTAGCAGCTTTATTTTTGTTAAGCGTCCGGACATCTACAACCCCCGTTATAATAACTGTAGCCTAGACGATCTAGAAAAACTAAAACAAACAATAACGAAAAGTACAAAATAAACACATCCCCCCAAAAAATCTATAAATTAAAAACATAGGCCTAGTCTAGTTTGACTTTAAATGTTAGTAGATATGGTAAACTACTGACCTCGTCCTCGCCTTGTGGCCCACCTAGCATTGACTGCAACTGTGTTTGAATGAAATCCTCAGCAGTATTCTGTAATTCATCTATGGCATCATCCTTCATATCCTCCATCATATCGTCTACTTCTTTTTTCACCTTCTTTTTTACTTTCTTCTTGACCTTTTTCTTGACTTTCTTCTTGGCCTTATCCTTGGCCTTTTTCTTCGCCTTTTTCTTTACTTTCTTCTTCGCTTTGTCCTTGACCTTCTTTTTCACCTTCTTTTTCGCCTTCTTTTTAGCCTTCTTCTTCACTTGCTTTTTTACTCGCTTCTTTGCCTGCTTCTTTGCCTGCTTCTTGACCTGTTTCTTGGCCTGCTTTTTAATTTGTTTCTTCGCCACTTTCTTTCCGGTTTTCTTTGCTGCCCTCTTGCCACCTTTCTTGGCCGCTGATCCTGCTACTTTCATCATCTTGACGGTTTGTTGATTGTTAACTAACTATTAAGAAAAAATAGAACAGACAACGTAACTGAAGAACGGATGTGGCGAATCCATGATGACCAGCATCTGTCACCAACTTTTGGGGTGAAGATACAACAATTATCAGGATTATTGATTAGCTATCTAGTATCTAGCTGAACTAGCTGCAGCTGAATGCGAATAATTGGGAATCAAGAGCAAAACATATCAACGAGATTCAAGGCAAGCGCTAATAATCAAGCGCAAACTTTAAAGCTGCGCTTATGCACAGCATAACTGGTGCGCGTATATATGGCCAACTAGCTGTGATGCATGCTGCATAATAATGATGATGAAAGTAAGATCTCGAAAAAGAAAAAAATCGAGGCCCGGCCGTGCGAGTGAGTGCCATCTTGGATCTTGGATTCTTTTCCTCCTAAATACTCCGAAGAAGAGTTTTGACTGGAGGTGGGGGAGGGTGGATGATTCCATTTTGGAAAAAAGTTCTTTAGTAACTGCATTTTTAAATGATAAAAATGATCATGATCAAAGCCGTATTATCAGTATGGCGGTGTGACCAAAGTTCGCGCGTGACCAAAGTTCGCTTTCTCAAAAAATCGGTAAGATTTCGAAAATCTGATATCACCAATGGAAAGAGGGTCATAAAATTACCCAGAAATGAAATTTTCTTTAGAATTGGGTGCGAAATTGTGAAAATATTGACAAAAGATCGGCAAATTTTGCAGTTATTTCCCGGAGTTATTTGCGTCCGTTCCGAAAAATTATCAATTTACCGATAAGGGTCTGGAAATCTTTATTTTGAGATCAGAAATCCTTAAAATTGTAAGTAAAGAGTGGTACTAACTGATTGTACGATATCTTGCCTTGCAAATTATGATATTACCTTATTTTTGATGGATCGCATTTTTTGATAAATCAACTGTAAACCACAGTGCGTGAAGTTAGGTCTCATTATTTTTATGACTTTTTTAGATGCGGCGCGCACGCGTGATCGGACATCGAATTTTTAGATCGCGATATCTCCGAAATCCTTCGACGGTAAATTTTTCTAGTTGAACCAATCTGTAGTAAAAAACTTTGCCGTCCATTTGGTAATAATTGAAATAAATAAAGTTGTGTAGAATGTGAGAAATCATAGATCGAATATCACATTTTGTAATATGTTCTAAAATGTCCGCGAACTTTGGTCACCCCTTCATACAACTAACCCTCATGATGATGACCCCCGGACAAGTTAACCCTATAACTTCCAACCTGTGGTTTGCTTTGGGTGCCGGCACGTATAATGCAGATAGAAAGGGGACACCAGAATAGGGTCATCAGCATAGGGGTGGGGGTGGGGGTGGGGGGGGGGGGGGGGTTTCCAATACCATACTCGTGCCCCCGCCCATAGATGGGCCACTGGACAAGAGGGTAATCAAACCACGTGGTATATTCATCCGATTACCGGGGGGGGGGGGGTAATGTAATCGTTCGACATGGGATAATTGGGGTAAATTCCAGTCAGCTTATTAAATAACTGAATCATAATTTAAAAACTGGGACTGAGTGGGACTTTTCGGAAGCTACAGATTTTCTTCTTTTATCCGAGGGGGGGGGGGGACCATATATTTCAGGTAGATTCAGAGGCTTTTAAACATCATTTATATATAGTAGTGGGCAAAATCTTGAAATACAACTCAATAACACTTTGTCATTTTGAGATGCATCATTGCCTAGACTATACATAGGCTACAAGGATGCGCAAAGGTAACATTCATGTTTCGTTTTGATTCTTTTTTCTCCATAGCACCCTTATCCTGCTTTCTTACCCTGCTTTCTTATTTTCTTTCCTTCTTTTTTTTAATTTTGCCCTTTTCTTTGAATTGTATCTTTTCTTTATTGATTTATGTTACCTCTCATCATGAAGAATATAATAGACTGTATTCATGTTTTGTTTTTCTTCGAATAAAGTATCATGAATCAATGTATGAAATATGGAAATTTCTCCACATTTTTGTTTATGTGAAAATTTACTTGTTATATTTAATGAAATGTGAACCTTAACGCTATTTTGTTTATGAGAGAAAAGCATAAAAACATTTTTTTTAAAGATGCTCGGTTCTTACGTCAACACCTTGGGCAAGAACATCGCCGGTTTCCTTTCGAGTTGCCTACTTGCTTTCGTCTTCTATTTCATCTTCATCTTTGATTTAAAAAAAAATCATGCAACTGCCTGAACCAACCCGGCCGTCTAGATTTTGCGAGCAAGCCGTAATATTATTGGCGTAGATCCCTGGGGATACGGGACTCCCGGCTCAACATTGTTGGAATTTGGCTTGCATAACCCAACCCTATATACACGCACTTATCGACAAAATATTAAATGATGATGGGCCTACATGTTTTGGAACTATTAAATGTTAATGTATAAGTTTTATTAGTAGTACATGTATTTCTAGTTAAAACTCAGACGAGTATTTTGGAGGACCAACCGACCAAGAACCAAGATATGCCTACATGCCGTGTGTCCGGACAGGTTGGTTACCCGGATAGTTAAATTAAAAAAACAGTAATTTAAAGAAATTTACATGCAATGTTTCAGACATCTTTTTAATACTTATATAGGACAATATTATAAACATATTATATTATATCAATTATATTATTGTATTATATCAATTATATTATTATATTATATAAATTATATTATTATATTATATAAATTATATTATCATTACTATTGTTATTATTATTATTCATTATCATTATTATTTTTCTTGTTATTGTCATCGTCAACATCATCTTCACAATTTATCATTATTGGCATTACTACTAAATGTATAATTGCATTATCAATAAACTAAAAAAATAGTAATAAATTTTAAAACTAATATTACAGAACAATCATAATAGTGAAACATACAAGTAAATAAATACAACAACATTTAGGCTATTTCTGCGCACCTATACATTCCACTTTGAAATTGACGAGAATTTTGTATCGGATTACCCTGGTTTCTGATCTCATCTTATATAGTAGGCGTGCAGAAAATATCATCAAAATTCGAGTAAAAACAATGTCACTTTCACAATAATGGGCGTTGGTGTGAAAACAAAGGTTCTCAGGAATTTTGACGTGAAAGGTGAGGTTTGTGAATAAATTACTTCAGAGTAAGGGGGGCTACGCCATGCAGAGCAAGACTATACCTATTTGTCGAGAGGAGAACTGGTACCCACTTGGAAATGGTTCCCATATGCTAAATTTAAAATCAGCAGTAATCAAATGATTTAGAAAATAACGAAAAATGGAATACAACTATAATTGTGCATGCAAACACCGGAATAATGAGCCAAGTGATCGCGCTTCTTCTTCTTCTTGATTTGTTCGTAAGTCGAGAGGAAACCTTAGTGTTACTGTTAGGCTCACAGTAGTATTTGGAATACTAAATGCAATCTTTTCTGTAAAAAAAACTGAATATTACCAAAAATAATAATAAAAAATAATAATTGATACTAAATAGTATTTTTTATGATTAAAAACTATTTTGTTTGTACCTCATTGTGCAAAGAAAACTTTATTCGTATTAATGTTTGAGCTTGAAGCACAGCTAGCAATCTCAAATAAAGGGGGAATTTAATGACGTCATTGGTAGGGAGCGTCGCTCATCGTCTCGTGACCATTACTACTTCGCCATGTTATAATGGTTGCCCTGTACTGTAGAGATTCACGTCATTCTCCGAGAATAAAACATCTCGTCATTTTCAACCAACGTGATTCCTCCTTGCGAATAATTCATCAACAGCGGGTAAGTTGGATGGACAACCCATCAACGATAACAGTAGAGTACCAAATGGGTTATTTTGTTGCTTGACAAGCAGTCAAAAATTACTTATTCTTCGCCAGATTCACGATGGTGGTGTGTGAGGAACTAAACGGGAAGTCAACTTACGAACAAATGCAGGGACATAGTAACTTTGTGTATGTATTCCATTGCATTGAGAATATGTATTATGAGAGCAGTGCAGTGCCTGTGCATGCATGGCAAGTGCGATGGAGTGACGGACGCGACGAGTCTCGGTGTGAGAAAGGCGATTTGAGCTCGATTTAAGCTAGCAGCTAGCTAATCAATTCAGTAGATCTAGACTAGATCTAGACCTCTAGTTACCTATTTGGTATTATTTTTCTTTTTGTGCTCTAATACATCACCATAACCAGGGAAAGCCATAATGGGGAAGTCCATCCTAAAGCCTAAAGGCCTAATAATTTAAAGTTCGTTTTTTTTAATAAAAGCAGAAAAACAAGAAAAAATGGGAAAATATAATTTTTTTATTTTCATATTTAAAAAAAAATTCTTCACGCAGCTCAGGTAAATGGGTGCCAATTAGTGCAAGGTGGTATCACTATCACATTTCATATTAGACCTATCACCTAATACCTTGTTTGGTTATCCAGGGCCGGGCAGAGTACCAGGCCAGGCCAAGGTCAAGGAAGGAAAGCGCCATCAATATAACTTTAATATTTCAATTGCAGCTAATATTTTTAACTTTTTAATGTATTTGTGATGGTGAATTTGTCTGGATTTAAGTTACCCTGGATATATTAAGGATTGTCTGCTGAATTGTGAACTTCTTGCTGGTGCTCTTATCTTATTTGCCAAATCTTGAAAATGCCCTTTGTGTTGTTTGTTGACATTGCCGTTGCTGTTGTTAAATGTCATATTTATTTATAATTTTAACGACATTGTGTGATTACAAATGTTAAATTCTAGCTATCACTCTACTCTACTCTCTGTTATTGGATAGGAATTAAACCAGAAGTTAGATCTAATTGAACGTGTTCTAGATCAACAATAGCTGATGTTAGCTAGTTTGTGACATTATTTTATTTTCATTTTTTTTAATTAGTCCCAACAGACTTACTACTGCCAATGTTGGAATCTTATTGGCTATATATCTTACAGTTTATTAAACCCGATTGTATTTTTATTTTATTTTCTTCCCGATTTTCCCCTCATTATCTCTATTTTCCCCAATTTTCTTGCCCAAAAGGGGGAAACGTTGTTAGATGCCATTTTTTATCCCCCGAATCCTCTTTTTTTTTTTTTAGTGTTCACTATCACCCCTGGTATATACTGCTTCTATGTGATCTTTTGCACTAGTGCGCCTTGAGCATTTGATTTCAAGTAGATTTAGCACCTTTGTATACTGGTATTTTTAACGTTAGCATTATGTATTTGCCTCTTACTATTTCCTTGATAGGACGTTTGATTCTTATGGTCGTATTCAGATAGTGGGCTCCACCATGAGTGACGATAAACCATTTGCTTGTAGAGTGCCTGGATGTAATCAGGTAAGAAGCAGGAATTGTATTTCATCAGTTTTACGAAGAGACTTTATTGTATTTTATTTAGAAATGTGTGCTACTGCTTTTATTCCATTTGCCTATACAAGTCAAACCAACCTGCTAACTTGAACATTGGAGAAAGCCTCACTTTTTGCACATGAATCTAACTTAATCGTAAGGAAAGTACCAGTGCCTTTTCAAGTTGTTTGTAGGGAATGGGGTAGCAGGAGCAAAAAATAATTCTGTAAGGTTCACCAATTTCAGAAAAGACAATAATCTGTTTATTTTTTGAGGGGAAAAAAGAAGAACATTTAAAAAGATGGTAGAATTATTTGAGTCATTTTAGCCCTCTCTAGCCGACTTACAGTGGTTACATATGGGCTGTGACAGATTCACACATCGTACAGGACAGGTGTACTTGCACAATCAAAAAGTGGATTCTTTCATTTGCATTCATTACCCCCTAAAATACAGGATATGGATTTGCTCTCATTTTTTTCCTCCTATTTTTGTTTTCATTTTCTTATCCCCTCCTCTTCCTCCTTCTCCCCTGTCATCCTAATCGTTCTCCTCCTCCTTTTTTCCCCTCCTTTCCCCTCCTTTCCCCTTCTTCCCCCTTCTTCCCTGCTTCTCTTTTCTCCCCAACCATAGAAATTTGTGAATGAAGATCACTTAGAGGTACATCGTAAGAAACACGATGTTCACCTTGGCTTCTCAGACTTCAGATCACTTGACACCCCTGTTATTGGTAAGATAAGCAATTATTACTCATAAATTTCTAAAAATGATATCAGGTATTGGTGATTGAAAAAATATATGTACTTCATCTACTTTTCCTCTTTTGCCATGAGTGTGTGTTTATTTTTTAAAAATGTTTTTTAAATGAAGATGGTTATCACCAAATAAGTCACCCCCCAAAATATAGAATCAGAGAAATTGATTAAAAAAGGTTTTGGGAAAAATTAGACAACAAGGAGTTCTGAACGCTGTACATTGCTATCTTATGGATACAAATGAGCCACTCAGTCATGAAGGTGTTGTATCACAGGCCAACTATACACCAATTGTGTATGATTGTAATATTCTAATTTTTCAATTTCCCCCCACCAACCTGATTTCTTCGTGTCTTTTTCAAAAATTAAATTGAGGACAAAATAGTATTTTATTTATTTGCCTATAATGTAGATTCTTTTATACCCTCCCCCAAAAAAATAAACAAAGGGATATTTTGGATAAGTTGTGATTCCTGTGTTGAACGTGTAGAGAGTGAGAGAATTAACAGCTTTCAAGAATACTGGCCTTTGTACATTAGATAAGTGCTATTTCTAGGATCTATTCATACCACATTCTGTTACTGATTGACAGGAGAGTAATGTTTATTATTCTATTCCACAGCGGATCAGACTCCGACTCCGACAAGGTTTCTCAAGAACCTAGCAGGAGAAGAAGGTCTTTTTAATGATCTCCACCCAAACCCTTTTGATGCAGAGTTCAGGCAAGCCAGCTCAAAGGTACATTGAATTTAAACAAAATTATCACTGAAGTGATGTGGGAGTAGATGATGATAATGATAGTATGGTTGATGGATGTGTAAAATCTGTTGTGCTGTGGGGGTACTCTCTGCTCTTTTCACTCTAAGTTCATTCCAGTATCTGATAACAGTTTTGATTTTGTTTATATATGTATGTATGGTATTCAAATGGTTCTATGAACCATGCTTCAGTGACAATTGCTTCCTGGTAATGTTTCTGCACTCACTTGAGTCTTAACTTGAAACTTTTCATGTAACACTACACATGGCCCTAACGCTAACCTTAATTCTAAGATAAAAGCTGATTGCAGCCCCAAACCTACCAGTATGTCTCTGAGGAAACAAAGCCCATAGTAAGTGTTGTCATAGCAAATATCTGGTCACTTTTCAATCGTTGAGATAAAACATTAGAATTAAATTGACCCTTTTTACTAACTCAAAGACTTTTTCAAATGTAGTCGATAGTAAAGTGTTTTAAGTACTTAAATGTTGCACCAAGGAATGAATAATTATCATAAGTCATGCTATGAGCACATGACATTTCAACTTTTAGATATTCCCCAGGTATTTCAGGGTTAAATGTAAACAGTTTTGAACTTTTGACATATTTTAAAACTGTGAATGGCATCTTCTGTAAGCGTCGTTTGATATTTTTGTGGTTGGACTAATTTTAAGTTAAACTTAATTTAAGTTTAACTAGTGTAGAATTTTGTAGAGGGGTACCCCACATCAAAATATTGTTTGAGTAGCCTTCAAATGCCATGTCTTTTTATGATCTGTGAAATCAAACAGCTGACAGAAAATGACGCTGAAGATGGCTCGGAACCTAGCCCTATTGACATGTCAACAACCCTCACCCCCATCGATGCGGAAGCTTCTGGAGACTCGGACATCGCAGGGAGAATCCTGCTGGATACAGAGGTCAAACCAGAGGAGGTCAGTGTGGAGTCTGACCCACAAACTGTGGGTGACCTCAGAGACAGTCCTGAGTTGCAGAAGGTGGTGACTCAACCCCAGGGGGCTACCACAGTGGTCGTTCTTTCACAGCCTAATCTTCCGCAGGCTAATCCTATACAGCTCCAAGCTGTGAGGTAAGTGTTTTGCCTTCCTTTTTAACATTTTGAATAAAATAAAAACCTACTTTCATTCATTTGGTCAAGTGTAAAAGCTTTCCTAATATAGTTTGCATATTTTTTTGGTAAAACTCAAGGAAGTTAATAAATAGATGAATTTCAGAGTTTGTGTTGATTTTGCTGCATTTATGAGCCACTGATAAATGATTATGTATTTGGTCAGACAGATGAGCTACATGCATCTGATGGGAGGGAGAGCCTCAGAGGGGGCTATATATGTTCATGTTTTGTAATAAATTGTATGCACACATTATTGGGATTCCCCTTTATCCAATTTCTAGAAACTTCGAATCAAATTTAATGAAGGTAATTTTCAATCTCGCCACTATATCTTTTATTGAAACTTTGCAGATATCTTTAATTTTTTTTTTTTAATAATGATAGTGTTCTTTTTGGTATTGAAACATCAACTGCAGTCTATTATACAGGTATGCTTGATGGATAAATGCAAGCAAAATGATTTCATGAGTTGTGTAATGAAGGTATCAAATCAACATGTATTTATCCAATTGTTTGCAGTGACCAGTTTGCCCTGAATGGCATCCCCCTCAACGGTCCTATCATGATCAAGCTAGCCACGGGCCAAACAATTCCTGTCTTACCTCCGTCAGTCACCAACCCTCAAGTGGCTATACCTACGGCAGTCTCGGCCAACCCCAACAAGGAACAGGACACTTTGGGGACTACCATTGATGGCAAGCCTGCACAGAATAGCTCGGTCAAGATGGTAAGAACATACACAGGAAGTCAGTTCTAGTTATTATCTTGTTTTCTATTTGAATGCAGATGAAACATTAAAACCCCACTGCACTACTTTTAGCTACTTGTGCCCTCTATATAGCAAACATTGCCTTATCGGTGCCTGTTGGTCCCCCATGATCCCCTTTTTCTCAAGTTAATTGAGAGCTGATTTGATGAGATAACCACCTGTCAGTGACCATGCAGGGAGGTCTAATCCCTCCTGGCCAAACTAGTGCAGAGAGGCTTTAAAGAGTAGCAAATTTCTGAAAAAATCATTTGTGTGGAGGTAGCAATCAACCTCAACTTTACCTGGCATTCTATTAATTAATGGTGAAGGAGCATGAAGGAGAAAATCCAGGATGCCATACAGAGCCCAGGTCCAACTTCATTTCCCTGCGAGCCTGATTCTGGGTGAGAGCATAGGTGTGTGTCAATCAGTTTACTTTACAAGTTGTTTTACTGTATTCTGGGACTGTATTTAAACTCCAATATATCTCTTTGAAGAAGTAATATTTGAAGCTCATTTTTAAAATACAGTGAAGCAACATGAAACCTAATATATCAAGAGCAAAACATGTTTTGGTGATTGGCGCACTTTATGTCATACTCATTATTAGCTTGGGTTTGAAAGGTTAACCACTATTTAGGGACTGTCAGGCACAAACACACTTTTGATTTCCTCAATACTTTTGAGGCTGATGCATGAAATTGTCAAGGTTTAATTCAACATTTTTTTAGTTACAATTCCAGCTTTTTAATTTTAAATTCATCTGAAGTCCTGTTCACCTATGGGTTGGTAAACCTTGGCATTTTTAATAATATTGTGTTCAAGCGTACGGCGCTTCACATTTCTATATCGTATAACACATCAATAGCGAGTGTGCATTTGATTCGCTCAACTAATATTGTCATCTCCACCTGCGATTCATATGCACGTTAAAGACACCACCACCGGGTTCCCCTGTTGTGTGTGGAATGAGCCATTAGGATTCATGTTTGGAAAAATCAAAGGCACTGCCTGCACAAAGGGCTAAAATAGTTTGACTATTGACTGAATGATATTTTCTCTCCATCAGAAATTGAAGAGCACATTACTATCCAACCAATCCCAAGGTAACATGAATGTGATGGCACAAGCCGTTGATGTAGTCACAAAGCAGCAACAAGAAGTCAAATTATTACTCAGTAGGCCGACATCAGTGAGTCAGCAAGAGATATATGTGTAAGTCCAATCTCTAGTCAAATGGGATCTTATATCATACTAGGAACATTACAGATATTTTGTGAAAATTGTCACTTTACATCTGCTGATTTCATAAGAAGAATCCTCATCTACATTTTAACTGTGTTTTTGGTGAATAAAATTCTTGTTACTAGACAGCATCAGTTACGAGTTCAGTCTAAGGACAGTTCTATATCCAGACCTTGTTTTCCTTTATCCATTCGACACACAAGGGTCCAGATTGATTAGACTCTTTATATTCTGTATGTATATGTCTTCTTTTTAAAATGTTGAAATTTGTTGGGGTCCATTGTTGAACTTCAAGGTCCTTGTGCACTAGTCCTGTTTGTGTTCAGCTCTGCTTCTAGCAAGTCAAAGAATGTGTCGTTGGGAACAGTGTGCATGACAAGAATTATCACAAGTATTGAAAAGTAGATACATAAGTATGTCTCAATTCTAAATGTATTTTGATTCATCCTTCATAAGTTTTACTATTTTGATGTGCTTGACCTTACTTTAAACAAAACAAAATTGTGTTGTCCACAGTCATAAGAGGCAGCGTGTTTCGGAGGAGGACGATAACGAGAATAAACGACAAAAGTTCCTGGAGAGGAATCGAGCTGCTGCTAGTCGGTGTCGGAATAAACGCAAACAGTGGGTAGTTGATCTGGAAAAGAGATCTGATGACTTAAACGCAACAAATAATTCTCTCAATGTAAGTATACCACACATTTTAGAAAAAACTTATGTTCACTTTATATAACATTGTATACTAAGCACAGTTGAAAGTATCTAGAAGAAATATATATATTAGTTAATGAGAAATTAATAATTTTCAGCTAGTTACAAAACTTCAGTTTTATTCACTTCAAGATCTATATGCCAATTTTCAATTATTATTATCATTTATTTTTTGTTGTTGTTGTTGTTTGGGGGGGGGGGGGGGTGTTGGTTGCATAATCTTTTGCTTTGCTGAAAGACCACTGAAATAACCTAGCCTTTTCAGGGGCAATACATTTAGCAGCTCATAGATGAATCATATGTTAAATCAGTTTTATTGTGTGTAATTTGCTCTTGCAATCCTTCTTTGTTTCTTTTATTCATTTGGGCAGACTGAAGTTGGCAAGTTGCGGAATGAGGTGGCACAGTTAAAGGAACTTCTGTTAGCGCACAAGGACTGTCCTGTTACGTTACAACAGAGGGCAGCAGGCTTATTTATGAGAGGTAAAAATATAAGTATCTAAAAACTCTCCTCATAATTTCTTCAATCTCATTTTCAATCTCATTTTCCTGCTTATTATTACTTTTTGTGTTTGACATTTGAAATACATAAAGTCTTCATTGCAAAATCTTACAAGGATTGAGTTCCACATATGCTATGCATTCTATTGTAAAGTCATATGTGAGTCATATGGCATTTGACAGATTGTAGAGATTTTCCTTCATTGGTAGAATTGTAGATATAAAGGGTTAGGTTTTTACATAGCAGTGTACATGTAATAGTGCTGTTTAAGTCTGGACAAACTTTAAATTCATTGATTTTTGTGATTCTACGACACGGTCGCTCTGCGATCAAAATCTTGCAGTACCGTAAGTGAAGTCCTAACTTCAATCATGGACCAGACACTATATATAACCTTAACCCTAAACCTAACCTAATGAAACCCTATCACAGCTTTACCCTAATCCCATATGGCAGGAGCAAATGTCAGTTCACCATTTCAGTGACCGAGTTCTCTCTTCAAGCCATAGCAGGTGTATACAGGTCTAAATGAATCAGCTATTCCATCTTAAATTAGCAACAATTATCTCAATTTTCACTCTTTCAATAAAAATCAACAAGAAATGTTTTCAATTTATAAATTTCACTTTGTGTTGCTAAGAGACTTCAATGATCATTTTGTATTAATTTTTTCTTAATTTATGAACAACACAATGTGCTGCAACTGAAGTGGACTCAATTTTCCAAGAATTTGGCACATGCTGCTCCTCTATGATTTGTAATGCAAACTATTCTAGATCAAAATATAACAAATACAGTTTCACATATATTTGACCCTGAACTGCTATTGGTTAAAATGTTAAAAAGAATGTTTTTTGTTTAAATGTTAATGTTTATTCTTCTTGAACTTTTGTAGTTGGTGACATACCAGGCAAACAAGAGCAGGACGTACATGAGGCATCAGGGATCATCTCCATAACAACCACTACCCTATCGTGAGAGTGACTAATGACCTCTCACCCTTCATCACTTCAGAGGTCAAAGGTCATTTGAGTATCTGGTTTTTATATACTGTCTGACAGAAGTCAACTGTAATCCTATATCCTGTAAAGGGTTGACATTACTTGTCCTTGTGCAGTATTAAATCTTTTGATATGATCTGTTTTCTGTTATAACATGCACTTTCCATAGACTCTAGTCTGAGTTATCTCAGGCTTAATATTCAAATGCTTTAGTCACAAGTGTCTTGGTTATTAAGACATTTCCATGTATCATTGATCCAATTTATTTTGCTCAAAGCTTTCAACAAGATTCATTAATATACTACATGTAGTTTGTTTGTACATCATTATTAAAGAATAATGGCTTATTCTGCAGCCTGGTAACCATCCCTTATTTAATGCTTAGTGGTTAGTAGTGCGTGAGGTGCTGTTGTGTAGAGTAACATCGACAGCTGGATTATCGTCAGCCGTAGAAATAGATGTCAAAATATGTTTCCATACTTGTTTACATTTGAAACAGCATAGAAAGATCTGCTTGCTTGCTCTTCAGAAGAGGTGACATTACTTGTGGGAATTCTAAAGTACATGTAGGAATTTCATCACCTACTTGCCTTGCTAGCCTGATTAATTGAGTCAAGACAGGGTGCAGTAGTTTTAGATTAACAAGCATTTCAAAGGGATGTCAGCAAACTTTGTATTTATGATAGTTTCATGAGACACTGCCCAGGTGTATTGTTTGTTTGTGAAATCCAACAACAAAAGTTGAAAAAGATGATTGAAACCATCAGAATTGATGTGGTATGGCCTGTGAGATAGATGCATATCCTGCTGCAGTCTGATGATGTATCAAATGAGTGGAAAAGTCTTGAACATCATACTGTGAAGGGGTCTCTAAAATTGATATGAAATTGATGGCAAAGAATGCAGTTGGACCGGCGGAAATAAACAGCTTGTGATCTCTTCAGTTATTGACAGGCTTGGGGAGTGAAAGAAAATGTCAACATAGTCTAGCCTTCTTACCATCTTACATATTGACTAGCACTTCATTGAAATTTGAACTCTCAATTTAGGGATGGAGACCTTGCGTATTGCATGGAATTATGGATTGTTTTTATTTTATCATGTTTATCAAATTCCATATGCTTTGAAAGTAAATAATGCCATTCCAGCTTAGATTCTAGAATGAATTGCCAGTATTCTCGAAAGCAGCCTAACCATGAGACATGTTTAAACCACGTTTCAGTTTGAAGATCTAGTCCACTGACTTATGGAATGCCAAATGTCAACCTCTTCATACTGTATAAATCACCATAAGTCTGTGACTGAATGAAAATTCAAGGTTGTATCTATATTGTTGATTTCTCACATTTATGTCTTGAACAATTGGTTTTGTTTAGATCTACCTGTAAAGCCCTGTTTAGATATGAGGCGGTAAACCATGGCATTTTAATTTTATGGTTACATCAGTGTAACACGCCTTACATTTGTGTATCTTAGAACACAAACCTTAGTGAATAGGGGCAGGACCTTTGTTGCTTGTACATGTAGTTACCATTCATTAACGCACACAAACAAAATAGTCAATTTTTTTGTGGCACTTTTCCAGAGCATTTTTTAGTAAGCTTATTAACATTTGTTGACATTTGGCCTTTCATAAATTAGTGGACCAATGTAGGCTGCTTTTGAGAACATGGGCCAACGATATCATTAAAATGCACTAAAGCATTTGTACAATATAGTTTGAGTGTATGTATGCTATTTTGATTTATTTATTCATTGTCGTTTCTTCTCTCATTAGGAGGGGAATCTTATGCATTTGTATATATTGCTTTGTATGCCATTATTTCACCTTGTATCATATGTAAATATCCTGTATATATATCACAAAGCTTGTATTTTATCACAATCCCATTCAACATGAGTGTACAGTAGAATATGCAGTTGTAGTCTACATCATAGCGTTGGCTCAAGTGCATACAATTTATTGAGAGTTGGGGAATTTGATTGAAAAAGATGTTATTTAGGAGGGATATCCATTGTATGGGACATTATTAAGACTTGCCACATGAACTTGCTAAATGGGAAATTATAATTGTTTAGAAAAATAGATTTTGATATTTTCAGTTAAAGTACAAGTCCACTCTTAAAATAACTTACTTTCAATGGAAGCAAAAAAATCAGACAAACCATCAAAAAAAAGTTTGAGCAAAATCGGATAACTAATAAGAAAGTTATGAATTTTTGAGAAAGTATGTAAAACTATAGAACAATGGAAATAACTACACAAATTGCCAATTTGGTTATAAGTTTGTGACATCATGTCCTCACTCTTTATCAATTGCTTTATATGGTTTAATCCCATAAATTTCTCCATGCCTTTGCCCAGGTTATATGATTTGTATCATATTGCGTGAATGACATTGCACAAAATCTTTTATGAACTTTGAAGGATTTATACTATTTTCTGAATATTGTATATTTACAATTATTGATTTTTATCTAAATAGTTAATCAAAAGTAACATTTTTCATGATTTAACTGAAAAAATTACTCTATATTTAATGCATCCACACAAAAACATATTACAGGTACTATCAATCTAACTTGGATGGTGTATGAAGAAATAAGATTCTTAGGGGAAAAATAGAAAATTTATATTATCAATATAAAGAAAACAATTACGGTAGTGGATAGTGAGGACATGACGTCAATCTCCAATTTGTCATGTGATTTTCATTGTTCCATGGTTTTACAGACTTTTTCAAAAATGCATAACTTTCTTATCAGATATCCAATTTTGCTCAAACATTTTTTGATTGGTTTGTCTGATTTTTCTGCTTCTATTGAAAGTAAGTTATTTTTGGAGTGGACTTGGCCTTTAAGAAAGAATTTGCTGTAACTTCCAGTGATCACTTCAATGAAGCCTGACATCTATAGAATGTATTGGTTTTTTCTATACACTTGTCTCTTTCATGAATGAGTGAAAATGGGTAAAAATGTATCGTAGCAGTATTTCAAATTTTTGAAGTTTTATTTCTGAATTATATTGTGTGTTCACATCAAACTCAACGTCAGTCTGTGTACTGACAGGTCTTTCAAATTCTGCTCTTTGTATTTTGTGTAACAATGTACTGAATTGGTTGTATCAGGGTGGTTCTTGTATGGCTGTCATTTTGATTTATTCAGCTCATCACTACATTGGCAACACTGGTACTGTCTTTTGATTTTGTAATAATGTTACCAATGCATCACTAACTGCATGATGTGAATGTGACGATGCTTTGATCCAGGACTTGGAAACTGCTCTTTGTATGCCTTTAAATGCAATTGAAAATACATTACAGCAGTGGTAACAATGTGAATAAAAGACCCTGCCTTTAATCAGTGCAACTTTTAGGGGGGAAAATAGCAATCAAAAAGCTTATGTTGCCAGTTTAAGGACTTCAGTGCTCATTTTTCTTTAATGAAATTCAGCCATCTTAGTTCATGATTAATAATACATCATAAATGAACACAGGGCATGTTTTTTTCTCTTCAGGGCATGGAAGTATAATAGGGCTGTTTACTATGATATTGTTTTCAACATCATTTTCCCTATTTTCAAGTCAAGTTCTAAGGTTACAAATCTACTGATAGCTGTGTATTGTGGAAACTACATGGTAAATAGATAATTTCACAGATCCAAGTGTGTTGGTCATTATACATATGATAATAATGAAAGTTATATTTTGGGCAATCAGAAACAATTAGAGGTGTCGTGGTCGAATGGATGCGTCGCCGGACTGTCGATCGCAAGGTCCGCAGTTCGAGTCCCGCCGCGGCACTAATGTCCTTTGGCAAGACATTGATCTACATTTGCCACACTCAACCCAAGTGATGTAAATGGGTGCCTGGCAGGAATTAATTCCTTGAAATGCTGGAGTGCTGTATAAACGGCTGCCTGGCTAAAGCCGGGGTAATAATAAATGTGCCTCGGAATAGAATTATCTAGATAGATGGCGCTATAGAAATGCCTATTATTATTATTATTATTATTATTAATCAATTGCAAATTTGCAGTCTCCCATCTATTATGTACAAAGTCACGATTGATATTTAATCGCAAATAAGTTGTGATTGATATCAACTCTTTGTAAGACGGAGCCCAGATATGACAAAGATATTGATACAACAATGTATTTTTTCTTGGTCCCAAGGTCCTTGTTGTTAAATTCCAATGTCAGCAATTTGCTTTTAAAAATACATGAATTTTGTTTTTGTAATACAGAATTATGTTATAGATGAAATGTATCACTTCATGATGAAATGTGAAAATGATGTATAGAAATTCATCCCCTTCTCACATTTGTTATGTATATTTTGCGCTTGAAAATTGGGTATTTTTGTATGAAATACATCTGCTTTGAAACATTGAAATCAAATCCCCTACTTGTATCTCTTATTTTGTATCGGTGTAAGCAGAAGCTCATTTATATACTCTAAACATAGATGCACATTAAAAAACAATTGGTAACACATTTCTTTGTAATACTTGAAAATGTAGCATAATGGACATGACAGATTAATTGTAGCGGACACAACACTTTTGTCTATTTTTTAAAATCATTTTCTACTATAGAATCAAATATGGTGAGCTTCAAAGATTGGATGCTTCGACTAAAGATGTTACTACATTTTTCCTTAAAAATTAGTTTTTCATAGAAAATCATGCCTATACGTACTTTCCTTTGAATGTTATGGCTATCAAAGTGTAGAATTTGTTAAGCTCTTTCCTTTGATAACCGAATTTGTCCAAGCAGAACACACATTTCTGGAGTTAATGCAAATTTTATTATTTTTTGCTAGTGAACATCTTCCATGAAATTGCCCAGAAGTCCATTATATTTTCATTGAATGCATGTATTTCTTGTGTAAAGATTGTCCGCTGATGACGAGTTTGGAAAGTCAAGCCTTCATCCCTATCTGCATTCTCAACCAGACTCACCAGTCACTTTCAAGACTCCACCTCTCCATTGTCTCTACCTCTATCCATACAATACCAAGTAGTCCTCCTCTTTTCTGTTCCATCCCTTTTCAAACCCAACAGTCCTTTTCAGGACTACCCACATGGTAAAACCACAACAACTTATGAATTTGATAATTTTATTCCACAGGGTTTGCCTCTGAAAGAAAGACACACAAGGAAGTGCGAAATCACTGTTAATAAGCAATAAAAGAATGCAACCACAACAACAAAATTTGGTTGGAAATTTTATTTCATCACAAGATGACGATATGAACCCTTAATTACATAATCATAAGTGCCCAACACCCGTAGAGTGAGAAGGTACAGTAAAACTAATACAAAGTGATCTGCAATTTCTGTAATTTGATATAAAAGCAGCAGAATAGAATGGATATTGATGCCTCTATTACAAATACAATTTCTCAAAATACAACACATTTAATTATACAAGCATAACTAGTTGAATGAATACAAGTTATTTTCATGAATACTATAACAGAACTTAAAATATCTGCTAGAAAATATTTGTTAAACACAACAAACAAATAAATCGTTCTTATTATTTTGTAAGTTAAAACTGAATGTTACAAGAGCATTGAGAATATGAATGTTGAATGGTACAATACACAAGTGAAGCATTTTTCACAATGGAAGCCGGAACTACCGGTATACCTCTTTACCTAAGACATAGGTAGTCCATGAATGAGAAAAATTATTATACCTGGAATAAAGTGCATGGTGAAATGATGGAAAACTAACAAATTTTAAACCTAAATGTAAAATTATAAAAGCAATTATATATTGCCAAGAAAAACAGAAAAAAAATCTCTTGGTGCCATTAAACATGTAATATAATGTTTTCTGTGCATATGAGAAGGCATTGACATTATTGGATGAATACGAAATTCAGTGTTTGAAAAAAATTTCAAACAGAGACTTTGACCACAACAAACGTGAAAGCAGATAAACACTAAATATACTTTCCAAGATACAGGCTGCTGAATACAGCTGTCAAACAATCAAAATGGTGGCAATGCTACAAAAATAAAGTCTTAAACGTATATGGATGATATTCAAGAGATTGAAGGGCATTGTTATGTCTACATAATTGTATGTCTAGTAGGAATAAAGCCATGAATTTGTAATGCATAAATGAAAAATGAAACTGCATTGAAATTCAGTTTACAGAATATAAGTCTTCACTCTTATTTCAGAGTTTGATGTCACATAACTCAACACTGTTTACTCGACACGGTTCGATAAGAAACCAATCACAGTGGGATGATTTTAAACAAAGATATTTTTTGTACATCTTCTTTAATTCCATTCTAGCTTCCTCCTTCTACTTTGCAGCAATCAGCATTCACTGAAGTGTAAACTTACATTACTAAACATGCAGGCTAAGTAGGCTACGAATTTGATAGCAAAAAAAGACTATATTAAGCCTGACAATCATAGAACCTTGATCATTCAGTGAAAATTCCACCTCCTCTTCTTTTGTAACTCTAGGAAATCAGATGCAATTAATAGAGGTAGGATTTCTCTACATATATATGATTAGTAACAAATAATGAATATAAAAAAAAGGCTTTTACAATCACAGAATATGAAACACTAGACAGCAAGGTAATGTGTTAAAGCAAATAAGCAATCATACAGATAAATAGTAATACTTTGGTTAGACTAAAAAATAAGCTAAATGTTTACAATTTTGTATTCATGATTTGAAATCTACATCAATATTTACAAATACAGTTGGACATTTAAAATTTCTAAATTCTCATTTACAATTTTGATACAATCTTCAGAAACAGAGTCGGAACTCTGCCTTATTATTGATTCTTAGTCTCATTGCCCGCCAACTGCAGAATACTATTTACATCATATCAAATGAAATCATTGATTGCTGCTAGGTCTATCTCAAATTACTTCCAATTGTGCTGGTAAAGGCACTGCTAATTAGTATAAAAATACATTGGTGTTCGGACTACAATTATGTGACAAAATAATTGGACACAATCCTTTATTTTGTCCTCCAACACATTTCATCATAAAAGGAATATATACATGTATCTTGCAAAAAGGTCAATAAAATCTGGTTTATAATGCGTTTGGAAGAGCTTAACTAAAATATTGATCTAAATCTTAATATAAAAGTACACTTAGCCTACCAATTTGGCATGATTAGCAGAGCAAATTTTCCATTGGTTATTAAGAATTCATACACAAACCCACTGGGAGGGATTTGAAGTCAATAAGTCCAGGGTAATTTCTGGTCCAAAATTGAACAAAAACAGAGAAGAAAAACAATATGACATAAAGAAGAAAAAAAAGTATTATTTATACATTATTGTTAGTGATGATGTTTTAATCTAAAAAATACAAGGTATAAGCAAATATTTGAGTTCCCTCTGGAATGAATAAAGCAGATACAATCTAAGCTAAGTACTGTTGACTGTTTAGTACAGAATCAGGCTTTGTACTGGAATACATGGAGTACTGTATTTACAACATATCAATGGGATGGGATGTAAGAATACATGTTGTTCATGGAAAAATGGGAAATATTGGAAATGAATTTCTAAAGCTGATCTTATGACTGAAAGAAGAATCTGAAGTTTAATTCTATCAACATGACATTCAGTGTTTTTTCTTCTCTCACATGGATATCATTAAGGCGACAAGACTTGATAAAAGATATATTCTAATATGGTCCTGACATGTCTAATATCTTCCATCAAATACCTAGACATTAAAAAAATGGATGACAAAACATAGTTGGCACTAAATTTTCATCAAATATCATTGGTCTTGATGTAAAGCTGCTACCGACAATTTGATTCACCTCGAGTTCTCTTTGACCTCTATCCTACACAACACATTCCAATGTAAGACATTAAGAACTGAACATGAAGCAAGATGTCATAAACAGGTATGAGTTGTTTCCTAGAGGCACAGACATGTCATTCCAAGTGTAGAACTGTATCTAAACAAAGGAGGAGTTTAATCCTGTATGTTAGATATACATGTAGACCTATCCATGTAAATCTTGCTCTACATATGTTGATATTGAATACATTTATCATATCAGTCATCACCATGAAGATCTAGTCCATGTGTTGTACTATTCTGGGGATGGTAGTGTGGTCTTGGAGGTGGTTCTAGAAGTGGTCCACCATGACAGACACTGTCTTGGTGATGGGCTTAGACTCAGCACTCTTCAGGCCAGGGATGTTCTGGTTCTTCCATTGTGCTGGCTCTCCTGTAGAAGAAGACAAAGGAACACTCATTTAGATGCTTACATCCCATATTAGTATTGATAATCATGTAAATTTAATTTCTTCCCCATCAGGTCCTGTCTTATACAGAGCTGCAATTGATTTTAATTAAACACAACTTAAGTTCAACTTCAACTTGCAGTATATAAGAAAAGATTGGAGATTGCAGGATGTACCCTTGTTGAATGTTGACTTAATAGCTAATATTGAAATTGCAGGGTATTGTGGGCCTTCCAGTCAGAGAAAAGGCCTGATTGCATGAGAAATGCAGAGAAGTTGTATGAGTTATATGACTGGCCACTGACTTAATAGCTAATTTACCTAATTTACCCAAGCTCCATCAAGAAGGCTTATGTAAAATACCATGCAATATTGGTATTTTTAAAGGTCCATATTCAATCCTATCGCAATGTCTTTCAAATCAAGTGTTCCTTAATCATTCCATGCAAGTGAAAACATTATTGAATTGACAATGGTAATGAAATGCACATGCTTGTTGGATGTGTAACATGAAATAATGAGTTGAAAAACATTCAATTGTATGTAAATTTGTCAACATGGGAAGCCTCCTCCCCTCCCCCCCCCCTCCCCCCCCCCCCCCCACCAAGTCTTTTCTAGGGTTGAGGGGTCATGCCTTGTCTACTATACAGATAATGCATGCCCTATAATAACCACAAAGAAAAGAAAAAAAGATGGTATTATTGGATAATCTGGGAGGTTATTTTGTGACAAACTGGTTTGTGCAAGAAAGTGTGATATGAACAGGGGGAAGTAATGCAAAGATACTTCTTCAGCTAGAATTCAGTCATGAAGACAGGTGCAAGTTTACCACAAGGTGCTAAATGTTTAATGAAAGTGTAGTATGAAGGGATAATGTACAAGGGAAGTAATGCAGTGTAGAAATAAGACATTGAGTCTATCCTATCCTGCATCACTAAAAACAAGTTTAAATTCTAAGAAAGAAGACGCCTTTTCAGTGGACATGAATGAACAGAATGCGAATGCAAGGTAACCACAAGGTGCTGGACATTATGAAAGTGTGAGTTGAAAATTTTAAAGATAAAGATCAAGATAAATAATGCAGAGAACATGGGATAGGGTTGACATTGAAGTCTATCTTGTCCTGCATCACTAGACTCGAGGTCAAATTTTCTGAAAATAAACCACCTTTTCACCGGATTTTGAAAAAGTCAGGTTTACTCATGAGTCCAAGGTTACCACAAGGTGCTACATGATCATGAATGTGTGACATTACGGACTAAGGACCAAGGGAAGTAATGCAGAATAGATGGGATAGGGTTGACACTGAAGTCTACCTTGTCCTGCATCACTAGACTTGAGGTTAAATTCCCAACCTTCTTGGGTGTTGGATGCAGAGTGAGGCAGCTTCAGCTCTACAGGCTTCATGAACTTGAGACCGTGAGGGCCACACATCACCAGCGGGCTCAGCAACGTCTCTCCTACACAGACAAACACAAGCAGGAAAGAAATATATTCATCAGCTTCCATAGAAACGGATTATTATTCATTACAGAAAATTGTAGAAGTATCACAATGGACTGTAGAAGTGAATCTTAGGGTTCCTATAAGCATATAAATTCCATGAATTTCCATAATTTTTCAATTATAAAATAAAAAATATCCACAACCTTTTTGTCCCCAGCAATGTCATGTAAAGTAGACGATAGTGTTAGAAAAACTTCTTTTGGAAAGGAAAAGAATCAGTTATTTTAGCCAAGACGTTGATTGATTGATTGCAATTGTTCATGACTTTTTCATAACTCTTGACTATTTTCCATTCTCCAATGACTTTAATATCCAGGTATGAACACAACTTTTTATATAATTTCAATGACTGTTAGCATTTTTTCCATGACTGCAGTATTAAACTCTGTTCATTTGAGACAGTCTCTCCAAGTGGACAGACCTACCTTTGTTCTTGTCGAGTGGAGGCAGCATACTGGTATCTCTGCAGACCTTAAAGTAGAGCTCCTGGCTGCAACCCTCTGGGATGGCACCCTTAGGGATGTGGATGCTCACACCGGTGGAAGGGGAGTTCAGGACCCCTCCGTTGCTGTCGAAGGTTCCTCTCACAGTATCCACAACTTCTTGTCCCTCATCAGATTTTAAGGCTACCTCACTGTGAAATTAATTTGCAGAGATCATAATTGATGAATCGTATCAAAGTCAAATAACTTTGCAGTATAGCTGGTTATATGACTTTACAATATTTGGTAGACTGGAGAAATAAATATGTAATAAATTATTTGCAAAGTTTCTAAAATAGTATATAGTTCTTCAATGAAATATTTTAAAAAGCCCAGGCAATAAGGGGAAAAAAGGAAAATGTTTGAACCTTATGGAAAGACAGCTTTGTAGAGTCAATAAATAAACTTTACTGTCTTCTTTTTCAAAAGAGAAACAAAATCACTATAAGCCTGTCTTTCATCAGCTCGAGTTTGCCATACAGCCCGCTTTTTTAAATAGCCCTATCTAAAAATAACCAGCTAATTTCCGTGTTCATCAACCCGCAGTTGCAATTAGCGGGTTATTCGGTCGAGACAATATCCTGAGAATTCTTTAGTCTTGTTTTCCCAAATAGCCCGCTATTTGGGAAAAAGCGAGCAAATTTGGGCCCGCCTTCATCAGACTGAAGTACGAGTCAACTTCTCGATCCCACCATGCACAATGATTTCCGGTTTTCTGTGTTTGTTAATAAACTGTACATGTGTGTACGATCAGAGGTGTGAAGACGCAATTTCGAACTTCGGGAAAATATCTCGAGTCTGAAAATAGCGGGTTATTTTGCAAACTCGAACTGATGAAGACAGTCCTTATGGGACAACCGTAAAATTACCTTTTGCAACCACCTGCGTGGAAAGACTGCCTACCAGTATACATAACAACTATATTTTTTGTTTCCCTTGAAGAATGTTTCTCTTTGCAACATGTATATATAGACCACCTGCTTATAAAGACCACATTTCTCGCCTCCCTTCACCAGTCTTTACATACAGGTTTTAATGCAACTTAGAATGAATGAATGAATGAGCACTTACTCGACTGGGATGGGTTTGAATGCAGGCTTCTTCTTGTCATAGTTGTTGTGTGGTGGGTAGATGCCTGACCTCTCCTGGTACTGTCTGCCTGGTGACTGCGATCTCTTCTTGGTCCTCTCTTTGTGAGCCTGGTACGACTCCCTGTCATAAGGTGATCCTGGTGCTTTGGGTGGCGCATTGGGCTCAGAAGTATTAAAGAAGTTCTCCCTTGCCTTTTTACTGTCCAGGTAGGCATTTCCTGTTTGTCCCGTTGTTGGTGGTTTGGGCGCCCGCACTGGCCTGATTTGAGAGGGCGCTTTAGTGGCGCTCGACCATCCACGTGGGCTATCACTGCGCTTGATCAGATTAGCCATTTTTGCAAGCTGGTTGCGGTATGCATCAGCAGACACCTCATCCTCTGACTTGTCACCACCAAGGTCCACTTTCTTGACCTCTGCATTGACGAAGCCTGACCCAACCGTAATGGTGTGTACCTCAGTTTCTGTTTTGGTCTCCCATCTTGAGCTGCTGGTGGCTGGTGTAGAGGTCTGGAAAGCAGGCTGAGCAAGTGGTGGTGGTGGTTCTACCTGTGCAGGTAGGTCCCATCCTTGCGGACTGGCCCTTGGACTTGGCTTACTCTGCTTTACCTCGCTGTGGTCCCATCCCAGAGGACTAACATGTGGACTAGGTTTGCTCTTTTGCACCTGACTGTATACAGGCTCCACTGGCTTTGGAGGGGGTAATTCTGGTTTGGGTGGTGGGGGTAACTCCTCTTCTTCTGGTGGGGGAGGAGGAGGGCGTGCAGGGGGCAATGAGCGGGTTGGTTCCTGGAAGTCTGGGATCTCCCAGCTAGGTGCAGAAATATCCACCGTGGGCTCTGCTGGGCGAGATACTGATGATGTCCTCTTTGGACGTGAAACTTCTGCTGAGTAAGACAGCTCTATTTCAGGACGAGCTTCAGGCTTGGACATAGGGGTATTTGGTGTCCTCTTTGGGCGGGATGGTTCTGAACGACGAGTTTCTGGGGTCTGCTGCTTTGGAGTTGCAGCTACTCTCCTGGGACGAGAGGCAGGCTCTGCTGGACGAGTCTCTGCTGGATTATGTTCTGAAAAAATGGAGTAATACAAATATGAGATATGTGTGTAAATATATATATATATATATATATATTTATATTAACAAAAATATAATTAGAAAGTATTTTCTTCAAAGAATTTCATGCAAAAAGAACTAAGAAGAATTATATATCTCTAAATTTCCTCAATATTTCATTTTTAAAAAATCTTTATAAACTAGATGGAACTTCGACTGCGCGCAGTCGAAATGATGCCTCCGTCATAGAGCAATTTTACAAACCAAAACAGAAGAAATTGTTCAAATTCAAGTTCAATTGTAATCCATTAACAGGTTCTCAGAATATTGTGATTACAAGCAATTTCTTATATACATATATGACCCTTTGATCTTTGACCACATGACCCTAACATCTACTCAGTTCATTGGCTCTGCAAGATGTCCCGAGTTAAATGGTAATCCATCTGTCAGTTCTAATGAGAATGCGTTCACAAGCTATTTTTGCATACATAATGAGCCCATGACCTTTGACCTTTGACCTCATGACCCAAGAATCTACTCAGTTCATTGGCTCTGCAAGATACATACATGATCTAAGTTTGGGAGGAATCCATCAATCTGTTCTAATGATAATGCGATCACAAGCTATTTTTGCATGCATAATGAGCCGCATGACCTTTGACCTTGACCTCATGACCCCAAAATTTAATCAGTTCATCGGCTCTGCAAGTAACATACATGACCTAAGTTTGGCAGGAATCCATCAATCGGTTCTTGAGATAACGCGATCACGAGCTGTTTCAGCATACATAATGAGCCCTGTGACCTTTGACCTTTGACCTCGTGACCCCAAAATCTAATCAGTTCATCGTCTCTGCAAGATACATACATGACCTAAGTTTGGCAGGAATCCATCAATCGGTTCTTCAGATAACGCGATCACGAGCTGTTTTTGCATACATAATGAGCCCTGTGACCTTTGACCTTTGACCTCGTGACCCCAAAATCTAATCAGTTCATCGGCTCTGCAAGATACATACATGACCAAAGTTTGGCAGGAATCCATCAATCGGTTCTTCAGATAACGCGATCACGAGAACGGGACGTACGGACGGACGGACGGACGTACAGACGGACGGACAACCCGAAAACATAATGCCTCCGGCTACTTCGTAACGGAGGCATAAAAATTAGAATATGGTTATTATTCATGTACAATTCTCTGTGCTAATTTGTTTTCTTTTTTATTGTTGTATTTTTTTTCCATGTTGATGGGCTCATGTTTATAAGTTGTACCAAACATGTTATGATCCCACCACATTACATTAATCTTTTCTTCTTTGTATATTTGCTTGTTCATACTTTATACATGTTTTAAAAATGGAGATGTGGAAATTAATTCAATTAAATTCAATTTAAATTTGAATCATCAATGATAAGCACACTAACAAGAATTAAACCAAACTGGTGTACATCAGAATAACAATGAAATGATATTGCAAGTTTGAAGGGGAAAAAGCTATTTTATAATACTAACCCATTCGTGCAGGAGGTGGAGGACCCTCATCTTCATCATCATCACTGTCACTGTCTTCTGGCCCGAATGTTGTCTCCAGGACTGGAGTCTTGGGTGCTGCAGGCAGAAGATCTGAATCCTCATAGCCAGTGTAAGGGGGTTGAATGGCATCAAGGTCTGTCTCGATGGGTGCCGAATGTTGGACCAGAGAGACTACAGGCTGGATGGGCTTGGTCCTGGGTTGTGGCTGCGGTCTGAATGCAGAAGGAGGAGGGGCTGATTCCACTTCTACGTCCAGTGAGGCACTGATAGGTTCTGGCTCCATGTGGCCATTGACGCTGACATCACCATCAATGCCAAAGGACTTGAACTCATCAACAAGGGTGCCGAGGTTGATGGTATCACTTGGAGCTCTCAGGTCTTCCTGACCTTGTGACTTGCCCCTTGAGTTCAGGGTTTCCTCTGCAATCTCCTTGGCCTCGTCTCGACGACGGTGCTGGTCTTTCTTTGAAGGGCGCTGCTCAGGCTCTCGCTCTAGAGTGTTCCGTTTGTTCATCTCCTCTTCCATTCTTTCCCTCTCTGCTCTTTCCTGCTCTCTCCTCTCCTCTTCGGCTTCCTCCCTTTCAATCTCCCTGGCTTCTTCTCTCCTATCCCGAGATCTGGAGCGAGAGCGGGACATGCTGCGCCTCAGAGATGACCAGATACTCTCCTTCTTCTTGGAACGGGATCGAGATTTACGTCTGCGGTCAAAGCTTGATGGAAACTCTTCCTCATCTGAGGAGTATCTCTTGGGAGGTGGGTCTGTCCTAGGAAGGGTCTGAAAATAGAAAACAAACAGATATATTACAAGGGTTGTGACTACTATGAAAAAACAAACAGGAGCTTATAATCCTAATCAAATTTGTGGCATACATTAATTTAGAATAAAAAAGAAATTGGTGAACCATTTCAAGAACACAGACATGAAGACCCCTTAGAAACAGAAAGTGTCTTTGGGGAAATCAACAGTTATTGCTGGTGGCAATCTCTTTTTGTGTAATTCTTTTATCTTTATCTCTTTTTTTCGCATATATTTGTTGTGTTTGTACAAGTTTGCAACATATGTAACAATAATGATAATAATATTGGATACTTCTATAATACTCATATAAACCAGTAAGATGTTCAAGGCTCTCCAATATCACAACATTCAAGAATTCCTTTCTACCAGGTACCTATATAACAAGTGTGTGAAGAGTGTTAACTGTAAATAAAGCGAATACTTACAGCTTTGACTTCTTTCTCACTGAAGTTGAATGAGCTCTCCGAGGCGGCGCCAGGGGTTGCTGAGGTGTTTGCCGTCATCGTGGGAGAAAGCCGCTCGATGTCAGAGTCAAGAGTGCTATTGGCATGGGAGTCAGGGAAGATGGATTCCGCATCGGTATCATAGTCAATTGGTAGGATGATGGGGCCCACCAGAGGTAGGTGACTCTCATCTGCCTCAGGTTCCTCGTACTGTAGAAAAGATGAGAGAAATTTGAAATACTGGAAACAAAACACGCTGGAGACGCAGATGTCTTTACTCTGAAAACCTCTACAAGACTTCTGGAAAACTCAATAAGTACTCGAATTAACAAAAAAAAATAAAAATTCTGTGATATTTCCAAAAAAAGCTCCTGTTGAAGAATAGAAAATTAAGTTATCTCCTGCCAGGTAGTGACATATTACTATAAAAAAACATCATGGGAAATGGCATGGGATCCAGCAGTGTATTTGATAGGCATTTGGTATAGCATTTGATATACAAAAAGGAGGAGGGACAATGATGTAAAAGTGGCCCCCTCTAATGGTTTGACATGATGAAGGAATTATTGCAAGATGGAAGGAAAAGAGGTGCCTCAGCAAACTTGAGACCTACCTTGGTCTCTGACATCCAGATTTCTTTCCTTTCTTGTATCCTGATAGCATCTTTCACATTCTGGAGCCACTGGCTATCAGTGGTCAAAGGGATCATGGCTAAAATATAGAACAAACACAAAAAGATACTTAAATACCATGGATAATACTGGCAAGATTCACAATAAGTGATATACAAGAGTGATCATATTCATCTTTCTGATATATGGTGGTAGTACTCTATGTTACATGTCATGTTGGTGAGAGGTGTTAATAACAGTGGTACTTGTGCAGATATCTCTTGATTGATATTTGATTTAAGTACGCTATCAGGTAAGCATTGATAATTGTCCAATTTACATTCATTCTGAAAAATAAAATACCTCTCACTGTAAAAATAATAGATGACACAGATTTTTGGATTGTACCATTGGCCTCAAATCTAAATTATTTCAACTCTTCTGAGCTTAGAAAATTGTGCACACCTTGTTGTTCAACTGAAACCAAAGATGGAACACTTGTACAAATGTGTTGGAAAAATACTGATTTACAGCTCATAAATTAAGGGTGTGGTGATTATACCTAAGAAGGGATGTGCAAAGGCCTTTTTGAGAGTGCGGCTAGTTTTGTATATCTTCTTGGAACCTTTGTTTTCTCTGAACTCTTGTAGTATCCCGGCCTTGTTCTCTTTGACCAAGGATAATCATGGCCTAATCTGACATTTACAATAAAACAAAAACTCCCATCAACATGAAATATAACATAGCTTTCAGGATACCATCCCTGGCCTTGGATCTATATCATTTCACTTCTCTTGTGCTCAAGAATAGAAACAAGCTGCTTCTGATTGTGCCCATTCTGCTACTTTTCCCCTATAATCGAAGACGTGTATACTTCAGTGGTGACTGCGATCAGGGGGGCGTTTCACAAAACTTGTCATCCGTGACAAATAACAGTTTTTGCTATAAGCTACTGAAATCCTTGCTTCTGATTGGTTGTCTTCAGATTTGTCACTGATTTTTGTCATTTGTCATCAAAAAAAGGCTTTGTGAAACGGGCCCCAGGGTTGTGTTCATACCTGTGAAGAGATGTGCAAAGGCCTTCTTGAGGGTCAAGCTAGTCTTGTATAGCTTCTTGGAGCCCTTGTTCTGCTCTGGACTCATGTACTGTCCCCTGATATCCTTGACCTGCGAGCGAGAGTCTGCATTCAGGAAGATGACGATGGGGTAGTACTGCATCAGGTTCAGCTGCTCAACTGCAAATGGCGTCACATCAAGCAGACAGTGTTTACCCTGCATGGGAAGAAAGGAACAGTGAAAATATCAATAAATAAAAATCTATAAAGGCACACATTAATTTTAAAAAATTATGGTAAATACACCTTTCTCATCACACATTAAGACCACCTGAATACATATAATGAAAAATAATCAAGAAATTTTATTATGAAAAACTTGAATGATAAGGCAATAAAACGTTCAATACTGCTCTTATTTGTGTTAATTTTTACAACTATATTTTAAGCCGATAGCCTGATGAATGTATATCATTCCAAAAACAATGAAGCAGTATCAAAGAATCACAGAATGTATGTAGGTCAATAATGCATTTGAAGATGGTTCAATTTAACCTCAAAAAACTTGATACTACTAATGCTAATAAATGCATAAGATTAAAAGTGACCCAGCTGCTCCAGTGACAATAGCTCCAGGATTGGGGTAAAGGTTGATATTGGGTTTTGGGTTGGGTTCATAGCTAGGCCTGGAGTTAGGTACAGTATTCGGTGAAGGGTTGGAATTACGAATTTGGCGAGTGTTGGAAATTGACTGTGAAGCAAATGTTGCCAGAGCATGTGCTGAAGAGCTGATTAATACATACCTTGTCAATGCAGTCTTTGATTGAACCAATCTTGACCATGCCTTGAGGATTTATCTTTAGCTGTTCCCCTGGGTGACTGTCAAATGTGTGCTCTGTAACTAGATCAAACATAAATTGATAACACATCAAGCTTCGATATTTCAAGACAAAAATATACCAAGAGCATTTTCAGCATGGCTGGTCAATTAATTTCATATCCAAATAACATATGTTAACTCATCTACGGATGCTCTCCAGGTCTGGGTGCCTGTCAATTATGATGCTCTGTGACTGAAGGCAAAATGAGATCAAGCAAACCTTGATGATACATCAAACTCAAATACAACTCAATGATATGAGTGATACAGAAACAAAAGATCCAATCTACTTACGAGGATTCTCAAATTTATCCGGGAGGGCATCCTTGAGATGGTCTCGGGCAATGTCCGCTAGAGGTCCAAAGATAACCACAGGCCTGGCAAAACCAACTGTGGACAAAAGAAAAGTGTTTATAGCCATAATTTATTTTAATACACAAAAAAGACAATTCATCTGCATAAACCAAAACATAATAATGCAATATGTAAATCAAGTTCACAGAATCTAAATAAGCAAGTGGTTCTATGACACATGCTCTGGTTACTATTATTCCTACAGTCTGTTCTCTACACTGACTGCATTTCTCACTTCAACTCTGGACTAACACTGCAATTAACCCTAACCCAAATCCTAAACCTAACCTAAAACCCAATTACAACCCTGCGTCTTTGACGAAATGAAGTCGGACGCCACTGTCTTTGCTGCCCCCTTTGATGCATGATATGTTGATATATACCTCACCATCCCTTCAAATATCACAGAGCAAATGTCAGATTCCAAGTTAAATAGACAAGTTCATTATGTTTATTTCCTATGCAAAAATGATGTGGAGAGAAAAGTTGTTATCTATTCTTACCTGTTCCTAGAGTGACTCTCTCATAGGCAGGGAATTTACCTGGTGTTCCAGCTAGAAAAAGGAAAATGAAATATTGTTTAGCTTGAAGAACATGCGTGTCTGACTGATAGATAGATTGTTAAATGAACTATTGGAGTTCGTAGAAATCAAATCTTGAACAAGTACAGACCAAGCTTGAACTTGAACTCTCATGGCACATGGTAAGAAGGATTTCTCTCTGTTTCATTGTTATTATACCGGAATGTTGGCTCAGTCAGTAGAGCGTCCGCCTCACAACCGGGAGGTCGTGGGTTCGAACCCCGGTCGCGTCATACCAAAAGACGTTAAAAGATGGGAGTTGCTGCTACCCTGTTTGGCGTTCAACAATAAGGGATAGAGCAACGTCGATCTGGCGCTGCTCAGTGGCTGCCGGGCTCACGATCAATTGGGCAAAAAGAAATTCCGTTTCGGTTTAACTTAATAAAATTTGGAGTGGATTATTGTTATTATTATTACTTGAGAAAAGATTTTATACAAAGTGACAAAAGGCTGCCAGATGCCATATCAAAAATCTGGAGAAATTTTTTAAAACTTTAATTACTTTAATGAAAAATATGTTTAGAATTTGAGGCATAGGTTCTTTTTCTTCGTTGTCTGTCTAAACAGGTGCATATGAAAATTTTTGCAGTCTTTCGCTGTAAGGAAATTGGGCTTACCAAAGACAACCTCATCGTATTCATCCTCGATCTCGATTCTAACAGCAGAACTCTTGATCTTCCTCATGCTGGCTCTATTGCCCCTCCTCTTGAAGAACTCTTTCCTAGTACCACTTGTGTTGAGAAGTTTGACAGTCTCCACCGACTGCTGAGCCATGTTACTCTGAGTTGCTCTATGTAAAAAAAAAAGAAGTAATAATGAATTTAAAACAAAATGTAGTTTACTTTATAATAGCATCTACTGGAACTCAGTATCATTATTTTGTCATACAAATAGGTTATTTTATCTTTTGAATGCATGTACCGTATTTTCCGGCGTAAAGGCCGCAATATTTTCGGGTGAGAAAAAATCAAAAAGTCGGGGTGCGGCGTATACGCAACAACAACAAAATTCAGCGGTCAAAACATCACGTCCATTTGCACGTATGGGACTATAGGTACGGTAGCATGACTAGACAACGGTACAGGACAATTCTAGAATAACTCCATACAACTTACCGACAAGTTTATGTTGCATAGTTGACATGAAGACGAAAAAACTTATTTTTCTAATAAAATCTGCCGATAGATCTAGATCTAAGTCCATACCATTGCATCGCCAAAAAGTAAACAAAGGGACAGGCCGTTACTTACGGAGCTAGCTGCCGCGCAACGCAACTGCGCAGGTCGAAAAATGCTATTTCGGATTACACCGCACATCGAGGAAGGGGTATTGTAGGATACCAAATCTGCGTACGATACAGTACTAGCTTAAAAGTCGATGAAGATCTGCTAAATAGACCAGTTCACGGTTAGCACATTACTGCAATGACCCCGAATATCCACAGATCTTAAAACTATGAAGAGGTCCCACTTTGTACATTTTGAAATAATCACTCCTACAGCGATGGAGGTGCCATAGAAATAGCCTTTGTTTCCCCTTTTCAAAGAATACTTCCACCTGTGTATCATGGAGTGCACTGAATGTGCATGAATGAATAATGTTACATAACTTTCATGAGCACGAATCCAGTATTTCGTTTCCGTTAATTTCAAAATTTGTTCTGCAATGACCTTTATCTGCTCATGCTCAGACTGCAACCGTGAACTGGCTTATTATGATCATTTTTGAGGTTAACTTCTTGTTGATTTAAAAGAATATTGATGAATTTGGTATAGTTTGTAAAAAAAAAAAGAGTGTTCTACAAGAAAATTACGATCATTTTGTTTGGTCCGGTTTTTTTTTCTCTTTTTTTTTTTTTTTTTTTTTTTTTTTTTTTTTTGTTGTAGTTTTTTTTTTCCTCTACGAAATGTCAAAGTTGGGGGTGCGGCCTATACGGCGGTGCGGCCTTTACGCCGGCAAATACGGTAGTCAAATATATACTAAATATTTATTTATTCATTATATTTGTCTTGAAAAGGTAAGAGGGAAGCAAAATACAATTGATGCCAATTTGAGAAGACAAAGAGGGTTCATTCAACCTTCTGTTGCTTTGTTTTCAGAACCACATCCTGGCCACAACAATGACCCACCACCAGAGGGACAATTGACCAAACTAAATATTGATGCATAATCCTGAATGACAAAGCATCTGTTGGTTCGGAGTCAAGTTTGGAGTTTGGATATGGCATTGTAACTTAGGTACAAATGAATATCCTATTTTGATCTTTACCTGCTGTTGTTTGGAATGAGTCCCCTCTCTGTTGCAATGTTATTCCTATCCAATCTGATGGCATACCAGTAACCCATAGCACCCTCTGGGAAGGTGTCTACCGTTCTGAAGACTGTACCACGGGGGAACTTCAACTCCTCTCCTACTGGGTTCTCATACGCAAAATGTGCTCTGGAAAACAAGAGCAAGAATACAAATTAATTGGGATCATTAAAAGAATAGCAGTGGTAGTCTTCACAAGAAAATTGATCTCTAAGAAAAAGAAAAATTCTTACTTGTCAAATTTGGATAAAATATGATAATTTTAAGGACAGGAAGAAGAAGAAGAAGGATAGCAGTAGTTATGATAATTTAGAGACGATTAAAAGAGAAAATGTTTTTGGTTCCAAACATTCTTTTGCCTTCTTTTTCATATTATCTATGGCATGCACTACTACTGTATTAAAACACAGTCTGAATTCACAGACTTGCCATATTTGGACTGCCTACTTACCTACAGAAAATGATACCACAACTCATTATATTCACAAGATATCACATATAAAATAATTTTCTGAGTTAGAAGGGTATTCATTTAAATCAACTGACACAGAGTTAAGGCCTCTCTGGCTTTGAGCAGATTGGACCAAAATTAATAATAATAACATAGAGATAATAAGATTCTTACTTGATGTAGAACTTGTCTCCTCTCCCCGATTCCATGACATTTCTAAAAGCTATAGAAAGAAAATGAACAAGTCATGTAACACGGTTAAGACATTTATATCTATTTTTTTTTAAATGCAGTGCTCAAATATTTCAAGTACTAAAATTTTTCAACAAACAGAATCTTGAGTTTAATTTTTTCACAGACATTTTGGACCAAAACCTACAAAATGAAATAGGTTGTGCTAGTCTAGCTGATTCTTTTCTTCAAGTAAAATAAGAGAATCGACTGAGAGGGGGCACACAGAGCACACACAAGCTATTGGTTGCAGGTTGAACCAAGGAGGTTTGGGTTGACCTAGATGGTGATGTTTGACCCGGTATCTTTGCCTCATCTTGGGCTTTAAGTTAAACAGGTTCACAACTTGGTTGATGACTAACCTGATCTGCTGTGTCTGACTTCTAGCTTAATGAAATCAGGTAACGTGAGCAGAAGGAGAGCCACCTCTTCCTTTGTCAAACCTTGGAGATAGATTTCCTCGTTTACCTAGGGAGGGAAGAGATACACAATTAGGAAAACTCAGAACCATAGACAAATTCCAACGTTTCTCGCCTAAATGACAATGGAAATATAACAAAGATAATTTATTGTAGGTAGGTTTGACAGTCTGTTTAAAAGATGCATCATTTCAAAACAAAAACAACAAAATATGCAGTTACTTAGAATGGTGTTTGCAATATTTCAATTGGAGTACATTTGCTAAATAAACATGTACGTGCATATGTTGTTCGACAGTTCACATGTTTGTGTTTTGTTGATGCAGTTATATGATATGAATTTCTACCTCATCAAATAAATTCGAACAAATTTAGGAATGGCATTAAAAAGATCAAGAAATAAAGTGTACGAACAATAAAATGCATGAATAAATCAGATTAAAATTCACACAGAATTTACATATGTTTAATTACTATATACCACCATGTCAAAGTGAGAATGGAAATGATCAAGATAGGTGAGAGAGAGAGTGAGACACTTACACATGTGATCCTGTCTGCGATGGCTACACCAGAGCTCTCTGCAGGGCTACCTGGTTTGATACCAGCAACGTAGATTCCCACCTCGTTACCTCCGATCAGCTTGATACCCACGCTGCCTCCCTTGTTGAAGCTCACCACATGGGAATCTCCTTCCGGGTCAACAGGAATGCTGGGAAGGATAGAAGTACAGGCAATAAAGATTTGTACGGATATGGTGCGGTAAACCGCCGCATAAAAGAAGCCACATTTTTAAAAACATGTAAATGAATGACAACTGCGCGCAACCGAGGTCCTTTGCGTATTCACTAGCTGAGCTCTGTATATAAGTTATGAAATTAGAACACAGAATAAAACTGGTTGAGATTTGGTAAGATGTCATAAATCCTTTGTAAAAAACATAACTGCTCCATACGCAAACATATGTACACTTTATCTGAGAACTAGAAAAAAGAAAAAAAGCGTATACCGTATTTGCCAGCGATAAGGCCGCAGCGCCGCATAGGCCGCAACCCAACTTTGACATTTCAAAGAGGGAAGAAAAAAAAAGGGAAAAAAAAACAAACGGACAAAACAAAATAATCATAATTTTCTCTTAAAATACAATTTTTTTTTTACAAACTGATACCAAATTCATCAATATTCTTATAATTTACCGGAAGTTTATCTCAAAAATTGATCGTGGGCAGATTTGGTGTCCGATATATACCCCTACCACAATGTACGGTGTAATGCGAAACTGCATGAAATGGAAAACAAAATGGCGACTTCGGATGGATGCTTCGCGGCAGCTCCGTTAAATGGTCCCTTCCTTTACTCTTGCAATGCATTGGCACGAACTTAGATCAAGATCTATCAGCAAATGTTGGTTTAGCAATTTATTTTCGTATTCATGTCAACAATGCAAGATAAAATTGTCGGTAAGATGTGTGGAAATGTCCTGTACCATAGTGGTATAGTTATTGTACCGTTCGTAGTCCCATATGTGCAAATTCGTGCTGGTTTTGATTTGAGTTTTTTTTAAAATTTTTTTTAATCTTTCGCCGTAAAGGCCGCACCCCGACTTTTTGATATTTTCTCTTTCAAAAATACTGCAGCCTTTACGCCGGCAAATACGGTAGACCATAGTTTATGATATGACTTACCCATCTCTGAAGTCATCCTGACCTGGACTGGGTGGTCTTGGGGGAGGAGGAACTGTTAGATAAATTGATTGTTAACAAAAATGAAGATTAGATACATGATACTAACATAATGATGTAACACGACCAAATTGTATTTCAAAATCACATTTTCACGTGGTAGACTTAAATTTCACTACTCTTCAATTTTAAGCTACATATATTTTCTCTTCTTTTTCAGTATATGTGGTGATTAATAATGTTGGTAAAAAGTCACCTTGCCAATATATGGCTGGCATTTACCTATTTAAAAAAAAAATAAGATTCTCCATGAAAAACTATAATTGGGCATTCCTTTCTAATTGTTATGTTGAATTGTTTATGTGCATCTTGATTATTTTCTAGTCAAACACTCTGCCCAACTAGTATTAAAAGTGTTCGGACTGATGCCGGCAACAACAACAAATGAACAAGGACTGCATATAAATTCATCTTACTGTATTCATCCTCCTCGGCTGGTGGTGGGGGTCTGGGAGGGCCTGCCTGTAGCCCTGGCTGCAGGGTAGGAGCAGTGTACTGCTCGATGGAACTGGCCAGAGATACTCTGTCCAAGGCAATCGGTCTAGTGATGTCCAGCTCCATACCATCCCTTGACCGCTCAATGATTGCATGGGCATCAGATAGACTGACCTGCGCCACAGGGGTGTTATTTATCTGAAATCAAGAAAATAGAAAAACAGAAATGGGATTAATGGTATATTACAGCATTTTCAAGTAAATGAAAGTGTTAAGTGATCTATGGATAGATCACCAGCACTTTGTAAACAATGAATTGGAAACTCTTGAGCACTTCATTAGTCAATAGTGTGAGCTGAAAGAAAAAATATCTTTTAGATTGTATTTGGTTTGTGGCAACATATATACTTTCTAAATATTGTACAGTATTTGTTATATACATGTACATGTAGTTCTTTATTTCAAAGAGGCACATCCATTGAAGAAATGGTGCAGTACAGAGCCTACTAATAATCCAAAATAACAATGAAGTCATCATCTTCTGTTATTACTGTAAAGATTCATAAACAGATTCAACTGATATTCATATTCCACGTGATGTTGCATGTCAGCATAGCATGATTTCTAGAAGTTTGTTTGAAAGAGAACACGGAGCTCTGTATACAGAACATTAAAGATTCTTTTCTTCCATGAAAGATCCAATCAAACTTACAGATAAATTATGTTCTGGTAATGCATACTTGAGGGAGCTAGTTTAAGGATATTCAAAAATTACCATACTATGCAGATGATTGGACCAGCAAAATATAAATAACTCATAAAACTTGCTGGAAATTGGATTCACCTGAAAGCACAATGCACACATTCATGTATGGGACAACATGTATGTGTTCTCTGATCAAGATCATTAGCTTCAATGTGTAGTCTCAAACATTCTAATTTACGTTCAATTATGTGAGATTGTATTTTCTGTCCAAAACTCATAATCATCTTCCAAGTCTGTGAGAATGTAATAACTCACCGTAAGGATCTCATCTCCTTTCCTGAGCCCCAAGGATGCTGCGACACCGTACTCATTCAGGCTATCCACAAAGAGCTTGTACCCGAGTCGCATTCCATAACTCTCATTCCTATTCTTTGAGAGTCGTATGTATTGCTTGTTGTCAATGCCATCGAGCTGTGTGTCAGCTGCACGTGGAGGGGGTCCGGTCATCTTGCGTTTATATGTCTGTGACACAGAGAAATGAATTGAAGATAAATTGGGCGAAAAATTCCTAAAAGCATGACTTTAGATGTACATTCATAGTCAACATATATTACACAATTATTATATACAACTATGTTGTAAATGTTTCCATGCGGTTCAAGATCAAATGGCAACTTTAACATAATATTTAAAAGCTTGAAAGGTTTACTGCTCTATAAATCTTTAACTTAAACTATTTTTGGAGTAAATCCATATTTCCTTTGTTTGTCAAAAATATGTTGACACATTCTACAATTAGCAATAAAGTGTTCCTGACCTACAACTTTGATGATAAAGTTCATTGACATTGATAAATCCTGTACAAGTACAGGTATACATCAAAAATAAAACTCTCAATAACATAGCTTTAAATACATACATGTACATGTATAAGAGCGTTACTAAAATCTATACAGTTCTTTGCATATTGTGACATGCTTTTTTCCACAAGCTCGAATTGGAATTCAGAGCGAAGGCTGCTCATGTTATTGTGGTTTTAATGACCATGAACACTCCTTTAAGTAGTGACTAATGAGAAAACTCCCTGGGATAATTGGAATCATGCATAGTAAGTATACGGTTGTGATTACATCCAATGACAAGGGTGATGTGTAGAGTGCTGCGATGAGTAACAGAAAGAGTGGCATATCAGTGTATCGTAAATTTTCATTTGATGTATATAGATGAACACCTGGGCCGGTATTCAATTCAATACTTAGCATAAGTAAGAAATTTACTAAGTAAATGGCTAAGTTAAGTAATTGACTTATCTCGTATTCAAATCGCATTTTAGACTTATACTTCCGTAAGACAAAATCGAAGTAAAATACTTACTGATAAGCATTGTGACGTCACACGGTCAATCAAAAGTAATGCGCAATTAATGCATTGCAATAAATGCGCGCTTATATAATTGTGCGCAGGATATAATACTGTGTAAGAAAACCATATGCCTGCCTATCAAGGCCTCCAATTAATTGGCTTAAGTGTGGTATGGAGTTGGCTTGGATTTAGAGTAAAATACTTAGCCAAAAGTGTGAATTGAATACCATAATTGGCTAAGTATTTTTTCTACCGGTAAGCCAAATACTAAGTAAAAAGCTTAAATTTTGTACTTAAGTATTGAATTGAATACGGGCCCTGGTACTTACAATGGTGACAACTTCTCCACTGTGTCTCAGAGCTCCAATGGCGTCGCTGTGGTAAGCATTCTCCATGCTGGCCCCGTTTACAGATAGGATACGATCATTCTTTCTGCAAATTACAAAAACAAGAGAAAAGAACAGAGTAAAATCGAGGAATAATTTGTAAAGAGTACAGAAAAGGTGAAAATGTATTCATGATTATTATCATCATTATTTTATTCAGCAAAACAATATCAAGAAAGCAGTACATCTAAAACAACAGTAAGATTATTATTTTTCATTCATCATCATCATCATCATCATCATCATCATCATCATCATCATCATCATCATCATCATCATTGTCATCATCGTCATCGTCGTCGTCGTCATCATCATCATCATCATCATCATCACCATTATCATCAATGGCATCATCACCATTATCATCATCATCACCATCATCATCATCATCATCACCACCATCACCATCAATGGCATCATCACCATGTTTTTGATTAAAATGATGCCTCACAAAAAGGTGCACAATGGAAAATTGTTGCAAAAATCTTCTTTGGACCATGGAAATTATTGTGAATAGTGAAACTTTTAAATATACTGTATATATGGGCTATAACAAAAATTAGAATGGGAACCGCAAAAAAAATCTTGTTACACTGACAGTTTGTTAGAACAGTGTCCTTGATAACTAGGTTTCACTGTTAAAGTTCAAAGCACCTTCATGGCAAGCCATTGAGGTGATGAAAGGGGACTTACTTGAGCATACCCTCTGCCGGTCCATTGGGTGCAACGTCTGACACGACGATAGAGGTCTCACCGCTGGAGAAATGGGGGTTATCCTGACCACCGCTCACTGCGATACCAAACCCCAATCCCTGGGCCTGAGAAGAAAAGAGAAATGATAAACTAGTTAAAGGGCGATGTACATGGAGAAGTTGTTGAGGTATAGTGGTTCATGCACTTGACTCTCAATCCAAAGGTTGAGGGTTCAATTCTCAGGCCAGCACAGACATCCTTTAGATTAATCCACATTTGCCACTCTCCATTCCGGTATTAACAGGTACCTGGCAATTGTTGAAAAAATAATAATTGCAGGGTCCGCAAGAAGAACAGTATTAATACTGATGTGGCTAGGCTACTCTGGGTAAATAAAAACCGATTATAGGAGAAAAGGTGGTTTAAATCTTGATGGCTTATTCAGTGAAAGCCAATTACATATCCGATTTTCTGTGTCCGAAAGGAAAGGTAAGGAAGATATTATTACAGAGTGATCGTACACAAACCATGGGGAAAAGTAGGTTATATCTTGACAGCTGCTCAATAATATCCCATCCCTCATTCCCTGGGCATGAAAATATAGGGCGAAATACACCAAGTGTGATGAATACGAACCATGGAAGAAAAGGATTTGTGTTAGCCCAAAGGAAAAGCCCTATGTTGAAAAGAAGGGGTGGAATAGTTCAAGTGTGACGGTATACGTACATGTAGCACCGGTCAAGGTAGCCAAGGTCTCGCTCTCTTTAGAATTACCGGTCACCAATTCAACCCCCTTTTATAAAAGTTCCATTCAATTTTCATTCATCTGATTTTCATCTATGCAATTCTAATCTATGCATCAAATATGATTGTGCAGTTACTACTGATCTACAACGATAGTATGCTAATGAACAGGAGGGGAATTTTCATATCTTTTGTGTCTTGACTTGGCATAAATATCAGTATTTGTATATGAAATGCGTATTTAGAAGTGCAATTCAACCCATATATACACTTTGTATAGAGTTGAATTATATGGAAAATGCAATTCTAGCATCTTTTAACACAATACTCACTCTTTCTATAAAATCATAAAAGCACACTAAATATTGATACCTGTCACAACAACTAAACTCTGCATGAACCAGAGTACAAATTGTTATCTTTTGCTAGCAATTAATCAAAAGTAGGTAGGTTGACACCAAGGTATGCCTTTGGTATGCCTTGGATTCAAAGAAAGGCTATCAATTCACCGGCACTGCATCAATGATCATCAATTACATTGAGGAAAGTCCAGGTCACAAGATGCCAGCGGCAATTTCTGTAACAGTTAGAAATATTTACTGTCTAACTTGTTTTTTGTTATTGTTCATGTTTTTATTTTTCTTTCTAGCCAGGGAAATGTATTTGTAGTAAGCATACTCTTTCACAGCTGATGACAACAAACCCTGTTTTGAACTAGGTTTGACCGTCTCGCTACATTGCTATACTTTTGTCTCTAAAAGTCAAATACGGGATCACAATGAGGTCACAAAAGAAAGAAAAAAACATTGAATAGACATATACAAAAAGTTGTAAGTGATCGACATTTGTGACTGAAATTCATATAAGCCAAGAAGAAGAAGAAGAAGATGATGAAGTAGTACTGGGCCCGTTGCACAAAATTTACCACTGATGGTAACTTTGCCATCAATGGTAACTACCATGGAAACCTTGATCTTGATTGGCTGTTGAGCCATATTACCAGGCATGGTAGTTGCCATTGATGGCAAAGTTACCATCAATAGTAATTTTGTGCAACAGGGGCCCAGGTCAAGAGTAGTTTGATGAGAGCGATGAGAGCTCTAGAGAGACATGGAGAGGACAAGATAGATACAGAAAGATAAAGAGAGATTTGTAAATGGGAATGAAGACACAAAAATATATATATTGAGAGAGAGAGAGAGAGAGAGAGAGAAACAGATGAATAAACATACAGATGCAGATAAACAGAGAGAACAATCTTTGGTAGTAAAATGTTGGCCCTTTCCAAACTATTCCTCTGATTTCACCGCATTCTTGGACTTCTCTCTCTCATTACCTTGTTAAATTCCACAAGATGTATTTGGTTTCCCTATTCTGGACATGACCCCGAGCATAGTTATGACTGAAGGTTAGCTAACCCTTGACCTCTACACTGCAGGGAGGATGGCTGGTCTACAGTGGTCTATGGGATGCAGGTCAAATAGTCTCATAGGAAAATAGTACAGACCATCCCTCTATACATTTGTTTTCATTCATTGTTATTTCCCATTTATTTTGATTTGTTTAATTCTGAATTGTTAATCTATCACACCCTACAATATATGTGACTTTTAAAATCAAATATCACCCTTTTAGAGGAAACAAAATATGATGGATTAAAAGTGTTGTGGAAATATTAAAGCATCTTACATTTACATGTAAATTTCTTCCTTTTACTACCTAGTATTAAAAATGTTTTTAAGCACTGAAAATTTAAGGGAGACATTAAAAATTCAAATATTCTGAGGGAAATTAAAGTGGCATGCTTATTATTTCAAATCGATTACTGTCACAAATGAAAAATGATTTCCTTACATCCTGGCAATACATGTAGTTCATAAAAGTTAACTTATTATGTCAATAGAATATCATGGCTGTATTTAATCTACAAAGCATACACAAAGTCTAATTTCGGAGACCAAGTCAAGGCACTGCTGGTTCGATGTCATGATGATGAAGGGTTATTCTGTACAAGGTTAGAGATACAGTCATGGCTTTCGGTCCTTCATTATCATCACAGCTAGAAAGCATAGTCGATGCCTTCACTACTAATACTATGACATGTCAAGTCTAATTCTCTGGTTTCTGTTTTGATTTCAAACCATGCTGATTTTAACAAGGTAACATGTTTGTTTACATCAAAAGTACATATTTATTTTGTGCTACAAATACTGATGAAAATCTGTAATTCAACTTATGCCCTCTACACTACAATATTCCTTAATGTATTAAAAGCATGAGATATTTGTTTAACTTCCAAATAACTCTAATAACAATATGCCTCTGATAAATTGCAAAATTACACTCTCCTACTAGTATTTATTCTCTATTGTGAAATTTATAAACAATAACTGCCCTTTTGTAACTTACCCGTCGGATTGAAACTGTATCCTTCTCCCATCTCACATCTCCATTTCCTCCTCCTCCTCCTCGATTCTGTAGAAAAACAAGAAAGATATAAACAAAACACATTAATAAATATGAGAAATGTTCACATCTGTGTAAACTCTTTTACATTCACAACTACAGTACTCTCAAATTCAAGTTCAAAATATATTGATGGTGATTTGATTACACATCTTGCAAATCATTTCACGTCATGTGGAATCAACATTACCACAGAACTTTCATAATTTCTATTTACAAAAGCTCTCAGCTCTTTGGAATCTCATAAAAATGGACCCTTAAAATTATGAGCCGACAATAGAAGACATCCAGCAAATACAGTGGGGTTTACACTGCCCATTGACTTTCAATGACTGCAAACACAGCCCAGGGAGGCGGAACTATTCAGCATATCAAATGCTCCCAGACAAGCGGGGACAATACATGAAATTTATGGACTGCAAACACTTGCAGAATTTCAGCAAACTGTACTATGCAACTAGTAAGTTTGGTTTTCTATTACGACGGTTATTACATACAGTACATTCCTCATTCATGTACAACAAGGAGTAGCTTAGCTGAACACCAATGGAAGGAGGTCATTTAAAAGATATTACGGGCTTTTCAACTGTCACATCAACATAGTGAAATACGACACAATGACGTCATTCTGACGATGTGCGCATGCACCATGTTGTCTACCCTGTCCACTACCAGAAACGTGAATATGTCCACCTAGGTTTTAAACGTACTATAAGGACCACCTCAGTCTAGAACGCCATTATAATATCTAGTTATGATTGATTGTACCTAGCTGTACCGGTGTGATTTCAGCTTATTCAAAGTGGCACATGCAGGGAAATATGCATATGCATGACAAATATGTTCACTCGTGCGGTGAGCGAACATTGATTGTAATTGTAACATTTTCACAGGGAATTGAACGAGGGGTGTTGACTACCTTGAGTGAACACGTCCTCTAGACGTGAATGTTGTTCCCGTTGACACAATTGAAAGGGCCTTGTTTGAAAAGGCCATGTTTGAAATGTTTAAAATGACAAGGTCTTGTCATGTATCTCTCATTGAAATAATTGTCCATAATGGAGGATCCTTCTTCATCATAAAGGGTTCTTTGCCCTCACGTCTTGTACAATTACACATGTTAAGACCTGTATACAAAAATCAAGCAAACTTTTGTTTCTCGACATAACTCAATGCACTACATTTTGCACACCTGTCATTATCATTTGTTCATGTATTGAATTGCGCCCATTGAATCCTCTCCCCCACCTTGACAAAAAATAAATAAACTCTACCCCCATCCTACTCCTAACGACACCAGTCCAGACCATCTGAATCACAGACGCAGTTAAAACATCCTTATATCATTCATCAACCAAGGTGAATAGGATAACAAAGAGGAATTGTAAAAGGAAGAGGGAGAAGAGTCTAGCTTGGGTGTCAAAGTAAGCACTTCAACCATTTTATATGGGAAGTAATAAACAAAAATGGACTATTGTGTGTTTTCTCAAGTAGCTGCTATTTTTCAAAAGACTGCATGGTATATTTTGAAATATCTTTAACCCTCCTCCATAGACCTGTGCAAAGGTGACTCACATGATTATGTTCACTAATATACACCCCCTCTACAGGCCACTATCACCACGCATAGACTCATGCATTCAACACCCATTCATTCCGACACTCACTAATGCATGAAATATGTCTGTCAACAGACCACCCAAAACAGGACTCACTATGTCAACAAAAGACTGCTTTGTTAATATCAAACTCCAATCTATTTCCAGATATTATTCATATTTATGGTGCAATGTTATGTACTGCAAGAGCAACCCTTTGTTGACAACAAAAATCGATTGTATCCGAGCATTATGTTGGAATGATTTGCTATCAAAATCCCACGCTATCTCCAGATATTATTTGTATTGATCAAGCAATGTCTGAAATTAGAAGAACAACGCCTTCAGCGCACAGAGAAAATTTTGTGAGCTTATAAATATTGCATCATTTATATTTATGGTGTGTTCATGATAATCAAATGTAATTCAAGTTGTAATGGACAGTTTTTTTATATCAAACTCTTAATCTATTTCTAGTATTCTTCAAATGCATGGAACAATCTTTTTTGTATTACTTTACTTTCATTGTACGTTCACTGTGATAAAAAGTAATTTGATCCTAGTAGTTATATTGTACCGTTTAAAAAAAAAAAATCAAACGGCGATCTATTTCTTGATATGATTCATATTCCTCATGCTTTATTTTGCATTGCTAGAGCATCTCTTTCACAGTACCCTCCCCCACCCCCCCCCCCCCTCAAAAAAAAAAATGCAATTTTAAATTCAAACTGCATGGTATAACAACTTCATGCATGGAGAGTCATCCGTTATCTAAAAAAATGCCCTACTTTAAAATTGCAATATTTAAACCATCCTGATGGATCAGCATTCAGCACTGTGTAATTTTGCAGGGACTTCAGATGGACTTAATAAACAGTTTTGTTGCTTGACTGACATTGAATCAAGACATTAGTTCCAACCATTGAAGCAAATAGACAGACATGCTGCAGACAGGTATTATGGGGAATGAATATATCTACATGCATCAAGCAACATACAAACCGTTTCTTCAAAGCAAGAACAAATAAATCATCGGATATAATGAAGTTCTGATTCCCCTCATCAAATCTTCCAAGTAACTTTGGAAATGTGCCAATTCATGTCAACCCAGGTATGAAAACAAGAAGCAAGTTTGATAGACCCCAGAGGCATTCTGGAAGTCAAACTGAACAATTCATTTTCAGATAGAGTGTTAACCTTTAAAAAAGCAATTTACTGATATATCGTCGTATTTTGTAAACATACCCAAAAAAAATACTGGTAATTGAATTTGTTCCATAATAAGAATTGCTCAATAGATCTTTAAATGTAATGGATACACGTAGACTTCATGCAGAGGTGCCCTTGAATTTTCAAGGCTGTACGTGCCTGGATTATAATATAAATCCATTTGTCAAAAGTAATAATTCCAATATTTATCTATAGTCTATCTATAATCAAGTAATTTGAGAATAGAGGAATCATGCATGCCAATATACACCAACAGTGTAATTACCCCATGGTCTGTCATACTGCTGTAGCTCATAATATAGTCAGACAAAAACAAACAAAAAAGCAGCAAACAAAAAATCACACCATAACAAAAATTGGTTTACATTCTGTGAAACCAGAAATCTCTACAGCAATGAAAGTGTATAAGGTGGTTCAGATTTACATTATTTCTATGCCACAAAATAACTATCACCATTTGTGAAATATATATGAATTTGTGTGATTCACGAGAGCTTCTTGCCATAAAAATTGCTGTCATTGCCAACTCATGAAAGTTTTTGGTAGTATAGTAAACAACATCACTGGTAGTGGTACTATATGGAAGAGACGTTTGCAAGCATATAGACTTACAGGTTCTGTGGCAGATGCTCCAGAGTAAGTTTTGCTCTTTGGTCAATTCTTACACTAACCACATTCTGAACTTTAACCCTGGACAAAATCATATACCCTTGAACTTCAACCCTCACCCGGCCCTGGCCTTAACCAAACCTGAAACACAATTGCATCCCTGATGTTATGTATTTTAGAGTTTTTCCTTTCACAAAATGCCCGGTCAACTTTCCCAGATCTAAATCATTCTACTCCCATTTCAATCTAAATGCCTGTCTGAGTGTCTCTGACACCACCAAGCTAATACCACTGCTTCACAAGAGAAAAGAGAGTGCAGAGCAGAAATAGTAGAAATGGTTCGTAAAGAGCTTTCACATTCCATAGCAGTACTAGTTTTCATCTTTCAAGGAACAGGTTGGCATACCCTAAAGCTCAAATGTCTCCATTCTGGAAGTCAACTTACAAAAGATTTCATCCTCTATTCCCTCTTGTTTATTCTTTCTTTTTTCGAGCCGCAAGGTGGAAGTTATTTTGGCTCAAATGAAAACAGGATCACATTCTTTCAAACATTGTCATACGCAGTGGTTAGATGCTGCCTATTTCCCCATAGCTAAAAGGTTCAAAGAGGTGAAGCGAATTGGGTCAAGCAGTGTAACTAACGTCCAATCAGAGCCTTAGATGAGATTTACTCAAGCCAGATTATCTTTCTAAACTGTTCAATTTCAATAGGACATTCCTACAATCAGTTTTTCGCAATGGGAGCTGAACTGACATCTCCAAAAAGGATAAAAATACAAGAAATTAAGGCAATGGGTTTATGCAGAAACAAGACTTTGAGGTTTTTCTTTTGGCTAATCTCCAATTTTGTCTGTTTATTTTGATGCCACTCACCCACTTCAGCCATGTTGCTGAAAACTAAACCTCTATCCATCCCGCTTCCAGATGAATTGATTTTCCCTACCCTTGACAATAGGGACTTTTAGATTCTGCACGACGAGAACACGGACTGCCCTTTTAAGGCAATGTGATGTCACTGCCAGTGCCTTAAAAGGACGTCACATTGCCTTAAAAGGGCAGTCCACATTCTCATCGTGCAGAATCTAAAAGTCCCTATTGTGTACATGTAGCTGAGGCTAGAACAGGAAGTCAGGTCCCATGGTCTTCAACAGTGATTACTGAGGACTTTTTTTTGTCGAAAATGTTTAATTCAGACAAAGACTTCCTCTTCAGACCTACATGTAAGCCTTAAAGAGCTAAGCTTCAGATCTACAATTGTGCAATTTCATAAACTAATCAAATTCCTTACTTCAACCCTGGATCCAACCCTAACCCTACAATTATAACCTGACTCCCAAATGGAACCCTAACCCTAACCCTAACCCTACACCTATAACCTGGAGTGAATGTTGCTGAAACAAATGTTACATCATGGCAGTTCCGTGTTGTCGCACTACATACATGTACATGTAGGGCGATATCATATATGATAGATAGAATGCATCCTTTATTTCAATAAGACAAAACGGAAATAGCAACCTAATTTCATTAAGGTGACTCACACATTCACACAGAAATTATTGGCACAATATTTACATGTTTAATATTCTCCCACATCTTCAATACTCGGTATTTGCAAATTCCCTTAGGAACAAAACAAAATAAGTTTATATGGCCTCCACCAACCACAAATTAACAATGAATATTTATGCTTACCAAGGTTGAACTGCCACTGTCATAGCTGTGTCTGCCAAAATAAACAAAAGATAAATAGATTATATACAATGCTGATTGAATTATGAATGAGGAGTAATATTGATATAGATTCATCACATTCCATTATCAGTGGGTGATTGAAATTCATAACAAATGAGAATTTGTTTACTGTATACAATGCTGAAAATGAGTATAAGTAATTTCAAAGCATACAGTAATTGAAACATAAAACCCCAAAAATCATACTATAAACATACAATTATCTGAACTTTATTTATAACTGGGTTATTACATGTATACCAACACAACAAAGAAGGGATCAAAATGGTTTCTTTTAACCCATGTCCAAATCCCACTCCAGTGACACTGAATCAAATTTCTAAGAACTTATCCTTGTCAAAAATAGTTTATTCAAGAGAGTGGCATCCAGCTTAGCCTCTTTCCAGATACTGATGTGTTTTTAACAGGTTTAGGAAACAACATTTTGGATTTTAAAAAAGAGGGTACACCAGGTTTCCCCACTTAATTTTTGTCTCCTAGGAGATCCGGAGTGAAATGTTTATGATTTGATTATGTATGCACTGCCCCCCCCCCCCCCCCCCCCCCCAATGTTTATATTTTGACATTTCAGAAGCCCAGTGTTAAATGTGGAGGACCATGTGCATCGGGCCCCTGTTACATTTACATGTACCAGTAGTTTCAATTAGTTCAGGCTGCCTGAATTGTGCATACATAAATTAAAAGACACACTAACCTGTACACGTAGGTAGGGAATGATGAGGTATACAGAATATGAATTGGGTTCAAACATCTCCTACTCTCCAGTTATTTCACGTATTTGAAGGGAAATATTTGACCCATGGATTGAAACCGAAAGTTTGTTAAGTCTTGAGAACAGTCTAAGAGGGTCAGTGTCAGAGTGACTTTTTACATTCCTTTGCGTATTGTTTATAACTGGAATCAAATGTTCACCAGTTCAAGTGCTCTCCAAGCTGTCAAATTACAGTTTTGATAAGGGCTCTTACCATTCAACCAAGGCATGGGTTTAATATGACAGGTTTGGTTAGCTGATAATGACAGGAGTTATCACAGATCACATGCCAAGAAAGTTTGTCATTCTTTTGACAATTACACTCACACTGAAACTGATTAACACCATAAGGTTTGAGAATCTACTCTTTTAGTATAAGTGAGTGTCTGTACAGAGATTGTCATTCTCCTGACAATAACACTTGTTTTTATTAACACCATAAGGTCTGTGAATCTACTTTTTGAGCAAGTATCTCTACAGAGTTTGTCATTCTCCTAAGAATTCCACCTACATCACCTACATTGTAAGGTGTCTAATTTTACACAGCTTCTGAGCAGGGTGAATGCCTTACAAGCACTTATACTTCTCCTGACGATCCCATTTTAAGTGTTAGTTGATAATGAGAGGACATAATCACATCACAAGCCAAGAAAACTTGAATACCTCCATTCCTTTCTTCTGACTTGATCACAGTCACACAATGATCAAAACCCTTTATTGCAAAAGATGGTTTAAAATTAATTTTATTCATAGAACTTTCTAAAGGTAATCCATCTTCATCCTTGTCATTTAGACCAACATACTAATTACACGTCTTTGTCACTTCATGCTATCTTGAATAAGAAAAAGTGCAAAGATTATACTGCAGTAACATTATGGGTTTGTGAATCTTCGCACGGTCGAATCAACAATATACTAACTTGAAACACTATGCATTTACATTATTTGTGACTGCTAACCGTATATCAATTGAGTAAAACCGATCTGTACAATGGTGACACAAAGGATATTCACAATTTCACACAACAAACAGTGAGCATATATTACACAGTTTATTCCTGAAGAGATATATTCAACTAGAATGGAATGAAATTGTATTTAATGCCAAACTGTCATTTTTCTCAAATAGTACATCAGTACATTGTAGATTAATAGATTTATTGTTGACAAAATGGCTGTGGAGGTGATTACCTGTCCATACTGACCATCTGATTAAGACTAGAGTGAATTACGAGCAATAAATATATAGGCATTCAGCCTGTATTCCAAGGACTGCAACTTGGATTTCACTTTGGCCTGTACTGTACCAATTATGTTTAAAAAGACTGTGGACTATACTTTTACTGTATTTATAAAGTCATGTTAAATAAATAGAAAACTTAAAAATCAGTCAAACTCCCTTTGTTAAACTTGCCTTTAGAGTTTAGACTGAGCTATTAAGTGTCGCATCTATATATTTCAGTAGAAACAGAACCTTTATGTTTTGTGTGTGATTCTCTTCTGGGTGATCGACATTTATTCCGGCCACAACTGCTCTGGGCTTTATTTTCATCAAAGGCAGAGCTGCCAACCTCTGAAACCAAAATCAGTAATCTGAAAGCTAAAAATCAGTAATTTTGGATGGAAATCAGTAATTTCAAGCGCGGCGCTTTCAACATCAAGAAGACTGCATTTGCACGTACATTGTAGAGCTGTACACAACACCACAACACAAACTACTAGTACCATGGTAATAGCATCACTCTGAATGACAGGACTTGAAGTAAAAACAAGAACATTCTGTTTATAACATCATTTTAAGTGCTATAAAAAAAACAATGGTTATTAGAGGATTGATGTATCATTACCCTGTTTCACTTACGTGTGTATATTCACTTCAGGTTTTTACAATTGCAATTTTACTGTCAGGGAAGGCATTTTTGACAAGTTGTGAAAGGTGGTCTGCTGCTGAAAACGCGATGTTGTGCTCTATCAAAAATTGAGTAAACTTCACTTCGGCGTTCGTGACAGAATTGTCCTTTGCGACGAAAAACTGGGCGATGTCATGACTGCGGGAATTGGAACTTGCCTCCGCCGCTGCAGTCCGGTGCTTCACCAACTTCAGATGTACCTGGATATCGTTCGAACCGCCATGACCAATTCCAAAATCGGATGAGCAATGTGTACAACAGGCACTGTTTGTATTCCTTTTCGACGGAACAATGCATGACCATTTCACCTGAGAAGGTTTGCAGTTTTTTAGAACGCTTCTTCGATGAAGTTGAAGTCATTTTTCTCCGTCGGTTACTCGAAGTTTGACGCGACCACGGCCGACCTGCTGCACATGCGGTAGTGTAACACTCGGCCAATGCATATTTCGCCCAGATAAATATCGTGCCACTTGTTTCAGCACATCCACCATGCATGCGCTTTCGTATCGGTCAAAACTTTGTGTGTCAGCTCATTCAAAATTTATTCGTGTATCATATTTTGTTATCAACAATGAAAAGGGGTATATGAATAAAATGAAATGAATAAACATGATCCAACAAATAATGTGAAATAAAACACAATGACAATAATTGTTGAATATAAATTCAAGTTTAATCAAGGAAGTACATTCATTTTCCTTATGACAATTATCATCATCATCATCATCATCATCATCATCATCATCATCATCTTCATCATTAGTCGAGTCGTACTTTTATTATCATAACAATGAGAACCCATCACTAAGGGGAAAAAAATTGTAGACCTGCTATAAACTACACATGGACATGGTACCGTACGGGTTGGTTTGCAAGGTGGCTAAATGGACTTGGGACGAGTTTGCCGTCTCCCCGATATATATTGCATGCTGAAAGCTAGCACACGCAGCCCATATAGGCAGGGCGGTGTGCATATCTTTCGATGGTAGCTACATGTGTGTGCAGTGGTCGTGGCTGAGGCGCGGATGATATTTCCGTGCGCTCAAAAGTTAACCACCGGGCCGAGGCCCGGGAAGTATCGCGATCATTACCGCTAAAACACTCGCATATGCATAATGCATGTGTTAATACATAGGCATGTCCAGAAATCGGGGAATCCGTAATTTTTGAAGGGGTTTCCGTGCTTCCGTAATTGCCGTCGATTTCCGTACCAATTACGGAAAATCCGTACTAGTTGGCAGCTCTGCAAAGGTATAGGATTAGTTTAACTTTAGTTTTTAGTGTTAGGGTTAAGGTTTGGGGCAGCATTGTTTCCAGGTTGAAGTTGTAAATTTGGCTAGAGTAGAAAGTTGACCAGTGCAGAGTAACTGTCACTGGAGCATGTTGAGAAAAACTCCTTCCCTGGTTATGAAGATGAAATGAATCCATCAATCAGCCTCTCCACTGCCACAGCTTCAGAAGTTCAGTCATTGAAGCTGAATACTGACACCAACACTAAACATCTTGTCCATCTTGCACTGGGCTACTGTAGTCTGCAGGAACAGACTCTAATTTGACACTTTACCACAATTTCTAAAGCCTTGAGCAGAGGCTAGCTCTGTCAGTATCTGGCTTCGTCAAATGAACAGCTAAAGTAAAGAGCCTGTGGTGTGCAGTAGACTTTGCAGTCTGCATCTAGTCTCTTTGTTCAGACAATCTGTTACGCACTGATTTAGGTTTGTTCTTGAAGACTAGGGCTACTTGCTCTGGCGTAGAGTGACATCACACATATCATCTCAAGATATCCTGTATCACATACCATGGGAACTTATCATTTTTCGAGCTGATAACACAAATACCCTAACAACTCAATTTAAGAACAGTCTTGCGTTCTGTCCCCTTTTCCTCAAACCCAGCCCCACAATTGTGAGTTTCTTCAGAATTGTGAATGAATTGGTATAAAAAATCTTTTAATAATGATTTCTTGGAAAATACTCACATCATCTGTTGAAAGCCAGAAAGGCATCAATTCTGCATAGAAGGAAATGAGTTAAAATCCTTCTGCTTCTGGCTCTCACCAGTTGTCCTTGTCTTTATTTTCCACTCCTTCCAAATATTCTCATGAGTCATCAATGATATATCACACATTAAGTAAAACTCTTCATTTCATCCCACAAATCAATATGAACACCAATCTACTCATGTGCTTGAGTATGATTTTTGTTAAATTTTAACACGCTCAAACGTGCTTCTCCTCACAATAGCTTGCACTCAAGCACATGAATGGACTTTTGAACTGTGATTGTCTATTTAATAGATACCTCTTGAACTGTGTCCGCCATTCAGGTATTTCCTTAATTAATCCTGGTTGAATACCTTACTCATTAACTATCTGTATTAGGATCTGAATGGCTTTTATGATATGTTAATAACTAATATTCCAAACTGTAGAAGAAGAAAATAATTCCAAAGAGTTTGATCAATTGGAGATGGTTTGATTGTGATACATGCATGATTTCTAATTTGCAAGGCATGGAATATTGTCATGCCTGGCCATCATTCTCCTGCAAGATAAACAAAATAATGGCATGGCTTGACACTAGCAGGGGTCCGAGGTACGTGGGCCCAAAAAATTTGAACACTAGACCCCCCCCCCCCCCCAATCCAAAAACAAAAAAGAAACTCAAAAGGGGGGAGGGGCCATATATATATACACCCTAAAAAATTGCAATCAAGAACTGCTGTGAAAAACAAAGATATTAGTTTAAAGCCACACGTACATGTATGTACATGTATGTATTTGTAAATGTATGCATAACCTTTTTTGTTTCAAAATAAAATAAGGATATTACTTACCCATTCAGACGGCCCCCATAGCCGACTTCCATCATGGTTTCTCCTTCTGTCTTCTCTCTCTCTGGTTAGTATGTCTCTGTCCACCTCTTTATAATAATAGTTGAATGTTTAGTGTCCCTTCTTCACGTGTCTTGGGCGTCTTGGGCCATTGACAGATGAGAAAAGTATCTTGTTGAAATTTTCTTCTTTAGGCTGCAATTCTGGAGAGGAGAAAGAAGAAACAATTGGAAAATAAATCAGGGAGCTATATCATAGAAGTATCAGTATGCGATATGTGACATTTTTTTTCCATTTGAGTCAATCATTCTTAGGAATACACGGTATTGTATTAGAAGAAAAAAGTTTGTTGAAGACATTGGTCACTTAATACTACATGTATGTCCCATCGATACTGCAGGGATGAATAGTTTCTCAGTATTTAAACTTAAAAACAAATGTTCCCTTAACCAAATTGGGTTTGATATATAATGTATGATTCAGACAGGTACAGTCAAACAGTATTTATAAACATTGCAGTTTACAATGACTATTGGACGAGAAATGGACGAGGAGACATCTTACAAACCAAAGACATTTATAGATTTATTTAAAAGAACTTCATTATTGCTGAATGACGATCACCAATTCATCTATGATTTTCTATTGAAAAAGGCAAAACATACATCAGAGAATACATTCTGTACAGTCTAGGTGAACAGACTATGACTAAGAAGGATCACCATATCTTCAAAAATAAATAACTCAGATTAGGGTCACTTTATTATGTCCTGAAATGACCTTTCTCGCCGACCTGTGGTCCTGCCATACAGCCTGTTGTTCCTCACAGACGATTCTATTTTTTTCAAAATAAGGAAATTTTATGTTTTCCATGCTCTTTCCACCCAAGCCTGGAGGAAAAATACCTGCTGCAATACTAATAGCTACTTTTTTTTTTCTTCCAAAGATATTCCTGTATATGGTACATCTGAGAGAGTGGTTGTTTTGTCTTCTTATTTCTCATCCCTGGGAAATGTGGATAAACAGGTTTCCAAGGTTTTGCTGATGCAGCTAAACATTCATCGCAACAAATGTTACTATTCTGACAAGTACGTTGCTCCTCTCAAAAGTATTTTCCTGCTCTATTTCGAATCGAAAAGCACTTATCCTTTCCATATCATCAAGCTAATATTAGAATCATAAAAATGTGATTTATTGTCCAGGGTTAGAACGCCTCTCGTCCTCTAATATCATCTTACACCCCTGGGCAACCACGGTGCAATTTGCCAACAATATCAGACCAAGGAGTTACCATGTAATACTCCTTTATCGCTTGTACTTTTAAAATGTACATGAAAGTGTTTCTTGCCGTTTCACATCAATTTCATGATCCATTCCATGTTCCATACATGTTTTATTTCAACAACAACAAAAAACGATTGTCCTTGCCAATTTATGTACCATCCAATTCATTGTAATGGGATACAGTATTCTATCTAGGGCTAAATCCCCGCCCCTTTACTGATATCACATTACACCCCTGTGCGTCCATGGTGTGACTCTTCAGCAAGAGAGATTGCCAATCAAATCAGAAGGCTCCTGTACTTTTTGAGAAAGCAAGTGCTTCCTCACATCAGTTTCTCACAATAGAACCCATTTAAGTTTGCAAAGTTAATACCTGTGCATACCGGTATATCAGTGAATCTTTCTTTAAGCAGCCACTTGGTGATACGAGACACTTCAACAAAAAGAATTGCTTGAAAATGTCTCTCTTTTTTTAATATGATGGTTAAAATTTCCTGCCTCTTTGCAATGGATTGGAAAGCACAAGAACTTTCTAAAACACTAGAAGATCCTGATCATGACAAATCTCCTGAAAACAAATTTTACAATATGAACAACCTAGATTTTCCATTACTAAATCAATCCCAGTTCACACTTGACTTGCAATAGAAACGGTGGTGCCGGAAACCTGCACAACGATTAATGTTGGGGACATAATGGTTATGGTACATATGAACGGAGCTACTGAGAAGTCTGTGAACAGGTGCATATCTCGCTGGGATGTTGTGACCCGGTCTCACCCCTGCCTGAGATAGATACATGATCACCAGGTACCAATATAATATTCTACGGATGAGGTGATGTTTAATGTGCATGGAAGAAATAAACAACTTTCCTCCTACACTTTACCAAAATAGTCCTTACAAAAGCATTCCATGGGGGGGGGGGGGGGGGCTGGTGTAAAGCAAAGAATAATAAGCAATAAAAATGTATATTGGGTATTAGACACATATTGTGTATTATGCTAATTACTGATATCAAGATAATAAGCAGTGGGGTGAATTCAAGTGCATGGAATCATAACGAGTGGCTGCATGCACATTGTAAAATAAACTAGATTCATATTATTACTGCCCACTTTTAAGAACAATAGCGTGACATTTAAAACACAAGACTATGGCATGTAGTGCTCACTTGATTCAATAGGCCCAATGACATTCCAGAAAAAAATGCATGCATTTAATATGGAAACGCTAAGAGTACATGACCAACAGCTGGAATAATTCACTAGTGTTTTGAGAGCAAGCATTTACACTGCAAAAAACAGGGATGTTTCTGCAAGTGAAAAAAAAACCTCTCTAGTCATGGGTTCTTAGTCATGTTTATGGGTAGATGTCTAGCGACTTTCGACAAAACTCTGGAACGGAGAAAAAACAATGTTTTTTGCTTACAGTGTAAATGCCTCTAATATATGAATTTGATGATAGCCTGTGGCTTCATTTCAGCAAATCTAATCATAAAATTATTTAACAAGTAATGGACATCAATTCATTGTAATCTGTGATGGAACAGATTCATTATACTCCATGCATTTATATATGTAACTTTGTTCTATAGTATTGAGCACAGGTTTTTGTTTATCTAAGAAAAACGTGATACAAGAGAGAAATGCAAACACTTTAGATACATTTTAGAAAGATGATTGCGAGCAGTTTTGCAATTAAATGACTAAGCATTTCTTAAGAGTGTGAGCCTGAAGTCCTGCACTTTTATGTGGGCAATTCCACGGTAACGGAAGGACACTCAGACAAGATTTTTGAACTTCAGGTTCATACTAAAAGAAATGTTTTATTAGTATGTATTAAACTATGGGGAACAAAATGTGTTTCAGTCAAGTGGAAAGCTTCATCAACTTCACAAAGTTTGGATAAACACTAATTAACTGGAAAAACCATGTCCATTTTTATGTCCTTCCGTTACCGAGATAATTAATATGCACATTCTTAAACTACTTAACTATAATGACAATTTTTTTGGGGAGAATTAAAGGCACTTATATAGGTATTATATCTGTACTGTTTCACATCTTATACTAATAAAACAGTTCTTTTAGTATGAACCTGAAGTTCAAAAATCTTGTCTGAGTGTCCTTCCGTTACCGTGGAATTGCCCATGTGCAAGTACTGTAGGCTACATTCACTTCCTAAGAGCACTACTATGTAGGCTACATGTAGGACTTCATGGATATCAATAAACATCCAAAATGCATCTAATGTGAGAGGTGAAACTAGAATGATGATTAATAATGACAAATTGACAACAACATGTTATCAATTTGTATAATAAAGAGTTGATGACATAAATGTGCAGTATTGATTTTGAAGGTAAGTGATTTAAGAGTGGTAAGATGATAATCACTTGGGGGTTCCAAGACAGAGTGCCAACCACCTGGTTCGTTGCTCCCGTTTGACAGGTATATTGTATGACGGAGATAGAATACATGTTCAAAGGCCATGCAACAAATCAAGTCATATGACAGCAAGCAACAGATGGCTTTATGAACTTTGCCACACTACAATTAGGTGGCGAAAAACATGGACATGAATTTGTACCCAATTTCACTGTCATTGAACTGAACATTTACGTATACATGTACATCCCTTCCTGCCCCCCCTTCCCTGTTTGACATTTAAAAGACATGTATATTTTCTAAGATACAAAAGGTAGCCACATATACAATACTTATACTGTAGTATTGAAATATCAATCAAACACACACAAGAAATGAAACTGATGCTTGGGGGGGGGGGGGGGGGTTCTGTAGTGAACAGTGAACAGTAAGGTAGTAACACTCACTTAATGGATATCTGCTATCAAAACAAATATTTATTTTATTACATCTGTGCTTTCGATTTGAATACCATTCTTTAAAAAGGATTAAAACAAATATTCCTTTTAGTGTTTCATAAATGGTTAAAAATAGATTTTACTTTTCTATTTTTTTCAAACATATATTGAAGAAGTGCGAGGACCTAGAAATTACTATGTGGTTCCTTCTCTTTCCATAAGAATGCAATAACATGTAAGACCTGGGGACTTGAGCAGGTTCAAATGCCATACTCAAGTACCCCTCTGCTGGTCATAAAAACTAGTCCCACTGTTCCAAATGACAAAGGTTTTCTTCAAGCACAAAGGTTCAAGGGTTCCAACATTTGACATTAAAGATTTATGCTTTGGAACTTTCATGGATGACAAAGCAATTTTTAAGATAAGATCTCAGATATATGGAAATAGGTCGGAGTGATGCCCGCTTTATTCTTTCTCTGACTTCTCTCTGTAAAGTGTAGGGGATATGGTTAAATGTGTGCTTGGATTCTGGCATGCATTACATCTTGGTTTGCTTCAGTTAAATGTGACACATCCTCTGGCGACATTTGCCCTATGTTCAAAATCCCACACTAACCAAATTCCTAACTGCAAACCTGGTGATAGAGCACTATACCTAACCTTAAACTTAAACCTAACATTAGATCAACCCTAGATGTCTTTGACCAACTAAAGCCAACTAAAGCCCAGTAAAAACACTGTAGGCTTTGTATTGATCAATCAGAAGACAATAACTGATCTTGCTAAGCTGCTATGATAATAAAATAAAATAAAAAGACATACCAGTATTGAAACTTCAGTAGGTCAACACTGGTGTATATCTGTTGTTCAATACTTTAAAAGTCAATATTAGACTAATTAGACTTGGGACTTACTGAGAACTAATAAAACATAATTCCTCCAAATAACCTAAGCCTAAGAGGAAAGGTCCCTCATCACCAGCTTCTGAAAGTCCTGAATTCAAGCTCACAGTCACAGCGTAGACATAAATGTTTAAGACTAGCCTTAGTTTGGACATGGGATAGAGCTAGATTTTAAACACCATTGATCCACT